CCGGTTTAGGGTTGGTTTAGGGCCGGTTTAGGGTTGGTTTAGGGTCGGTTTAGGGTTGGTTTAGGGTCGGTTTACGGTTGGTTTAGGGGAGGTTCATGAAAGAGTGATTTGTGGTTTCAGGAAGGACTGGACGGTTTCAGGAAAGGCTGTGTGGTTTCAGGAGGTGCCGGGTGGTTTCAGAAAAGGCTGAGCGAGGCTGTGTGGTTTCACGGAAGTGTGTATAAATTCAGGAAAGGAGGTGCCGGGTGGCTTCAGGAAAGACTAGGTGGTTTCAGAAGAGGCTGTGTGGCTTCAGGCTGGGTGGTTGTTTCAGGAAGTGGTTTCAGGAGAGGTTTGGTGGTGTCAGGAAAGTCTGGGGTGTTTCCAGGAAAAGCTGCGTGGTTTCAGGAAAAGGTTTCCGGCGAGGCTGTGGGGATTCACGAAAGTGTGTGTCGCATATGATGTTGGAAGTCTGATGGTTAATGGTTGATTTAGGTGAGGTTTAGGGTTTGTTTAAGGCTCCCTTAGGGTTGATTTAGGTGTGGTTTTAGGTTTGGTTTAGGTTTGGTTTTAGGATGTTTTAGGTTTGGTTTAGGGTTGGTTTAGGGTTGGTTTAGGGTTTGTTTAGGGTCGGTTTCGGGTTGGTTTAGAGGTCTGTGTTTGCAGGAAAGGCTGGGGCGGTTCATGAAAGAGTGATTGGTGGTTTCAGGAAAGACTGGACGGTTTCAGAAAAGGCTGAGCGAGGCTGTGTGGTTTCACGGAAGTGTGTATGAATTTAGGAAAGGAGGTGCCGGGTGGTTTCAGGAAAGACTAGGTGGTTTCAGCAGAGGCTGTGTGGCTTCAGGCTGGGTGTTGTTTCAGGAAGTGGTTTCAGGAGAGGTTTGGTGGTGTCAGGAAAGTCTGGGGTGGTTCCAGGAAAAGCTGCGTGGTCTCAGGAAAAGCTGCGTGGTTTCAGGAAAGGCTGCTTGGTTTCAGGAGGTGTCGCGTGGTTTCCGGCGAGGCTGTGGGGATTCACGAAAGTGTGTGTTGCATATGATGTTGGAAGTCTGATGGTTAAGGGTTGATTTAGGTGTGGTTTTAGGTTTGGTTTAGGTTTGGGTTTAAGATGTTTTAGGTTTGGTTTAGGTTGTTTTAGAGGTTATTGGTTTAGGGTTGGTTTAGGGTTGGTTTACGTTCGGTTTAGGGTCGGTTTAGGATTGGTTTAGGGTTGTTTGAGGGTCGGTTTAGGGTTGGTTTAGGGTCGGTTTAGGGTTGGTTTAGGGTCGGTTTAGGGTCGGTTTAGGGTCGGTTTAGGGTTGGTTTAGGGTTGGTTTAGGGTTGGTCTAGGGTTGGTTTAGGGTTGGTTTAGGGTCGGTTTTGGGTTGGTTCAGGGTCGGTTTAGGGTTGGTTTAGGGTTGGTTTAGGGTTGGTTTGGGGTCGGTTTAGGGTTGGTTTATGGTTGCAGGAAAGGCCGGGGCGGTTCATGAAAGAGTGATTGGTGGTTTCAGGAAAGACTGGACGGTTTCAGGAAAGGCTGTGTGGTTTCAGGAGGTGCTGGGTGGTTTCAGAAAAGGCTGAGTGAGGCTGTGTGGTTTCACGGAAGTGTGGGTGGCTTCAGGAAAGACTAGGTGGTTTCAGGAGAGGCTGTGTGGCTTCAGGCTGGGTGGTTGTTTCAGGAAGTGGTTTCAGGAGAGGTTTGTTGGTGTCAGGTAAGTCTGGGGTGTTTCCAGGAAAAGCTGCGTGGTTTCAGGAAAGGCTGCGTGGTTTCAGGAAAGGCTGCGTGGTTTCAGGAGGTGTCGTGTGGTTTCCGGCGAGGGGTTTAGGGTTGGTTTAGGGTTTGTTTAGGGTCGGTTTAGGGTTGGTTTAGAGGTCTGTGTTTGCAGGAAAGGCTGGGGCGCTTCATGAAAGAGTCATTGGTGGTTTCAGGAAAGACTGGACGGTTTCAGGAAAGGCTGTGTGGTTTCAGGAGGTGCTGGGTGGTTTTAGAAAAGGCTGAGCGAGGCTGTGTGGTTTCACGGAAGTGTGTATGAACTTAGGAAAGGAGGTGCCGGGTGGTTTCAGGAAAGACTAGGTGGTTTCAGCAGAGGCTGTGTGGCTTCAGGCTGGGTGGCTGTTTCAGGAAGTGGTTTCAGGAGAGGTTTGTTGGTGTCAGGAAGGTCTGGGGTGGTGCCAGGAAAAAGGAAAAGCTGCGTGGTTTCAGGAAAGGCTGCGTGGTTTCAGGAGGTGTCGCGTGGTTTCCGGCGAGGCTGTGGGGTTTCACGAAAGTGTGTGTCGCATATGATGTGGGAAGTCTGATGGTTAATGGTTGATTTAGGTGAGGTTTAGGGTTTGTTTAAGGCTCCCTTAGGGTTGAATTAGGTGTGGTTTTAGGTTTGGTTTAGGTTTGGTTTTAGGATGTTTTAGGTTTGGTTTTAGGATGGTTTAGGGTTGGTTTAGGGTTTGTGTAGGGTCGGTTTAGGGTTGGTTTAGAGGTCTGTGTTTGCAGGAAATGCTGGGGCGGTTCATGAAAGAGTGATTTGTGGTTTCAGGAAAGACTGGACGGTTTCAGGAAAGGCTGTGTGGTTTCAGGAGGTGCTGGGTGGTTTCAGAAAAGGCTGAGCGAGGCTGTGTGGTTTCACGGAAGTGTGTATGAATTTAGGAAAGGAGGTGGCTTCAGGCTGGGTGGTTGTTTCAGGAAGTGGTTTCAGGAGAGGTTTGGTGGTGTCAGGAAAGTCTGGGAGGAAAAGCTGCGTGGTCTCAGGAAAAGCTGCGTGGTTTCAGGAAAGGCTGCTTGGTTTCAGGAGGTGTCGCGTGGTTTCCGGCGAGGCTGTGGGGTTTCACGAAAGTGTGTGTCGCATATGATGTTGGAAGTCTGATGGTTAAGGGTTGATTTAGGTGTGGTTTTAGGTTTGGTTTAGGTTTGGTTTTAAGATGTTTTAGGTTTGGTTTAGGTTGTTTTAGAGGTTGTTGGTTTAGGGTTGGTTTACGTTCGGTTTAGGCTCGGTTTAGGGTGGTTTTAGGGTTGTTTGAGGGTTGGTTTGGGTTGGTTTTGGATTGGTTTAGGGTTGGTTTAGGGTTGGTTTAGGGTCGGTTTAGGGTCGGTTTAGGGTCGGTTTAGGGTTGGTTTAGGGTTGGTTTAGGGTTGGTTTAGGGTTGGTTTAGGGTTGGTTTAGGGTCGGCTTAGGGTCGGTTTAGGGTCGGTTTAGGGTCGGTTTAGGGTTGGTTTAGGGTTGGTTTAGGGTCGGTTTAGGGTCGGTTTAGGTTTGGTTTAGGGTTGGTTTAGGGTTGGTTTAGGGTTGGTTTAGGGTTGGTTTAGGGTTGGTTTAGGGTTGGTTTAGGGTTGGTTTAGGGTCGGTCTATGGTTTAGGGTTGGTTTAGGGTTTGTTTAGGGTCGGTTTAGGGTTGGTTTGGAGTGGTTTAGGATTGGTTTAGGGTCGGTTTAGGGTTGGTTTAGGGTCGGTTTAGGGTCGGTTTAGGGTTGGTTTAGGGTTGGTTTAGGGTTGGTTTAGGGTTGGTTTAGGTTTGGTTTAGGGTCGGTTTAGGGTTGGTTTAGGGTTGGTTTAGGGTCGGTTTAGGGTTGGTTTAGGGTCGGTTTAAGGGTTGGTTTAGAGGTCTGTGGCTGCAGGAAAGGCTGGGGAGGTTCATGAAAGAGTGATTGGTGGTGTTAGGAAAGACTGGACGGTTTCAGGAAAGGCTGTGTGGTTTCAGGAGGTGCCGGGTGGTTTCAGGCTGAGCGAGGCTGTGTGGTTTCACGGAAGTGTGTATGGATTCAGGAAAGGAGGTGCCGGGTGGCTTCAGGAAAGACTAGGTGGTTTCAGGAGAGGCTGTGTGGTGTCAGGAAAGTCTGGGGTGGTTCCAGGAAAAGCTGCGTGGTTTCAGGAAAAGCTGCGTGGTTTCAGGAAAGGCTGCGTGGTTTCAGGAGGTGTCGCGTGGTTTGCGGCGAGGCTGTGGGGTTTCACGAAAGTGTGTGTCGCGTATGATGTTGGAAGTCTGATGGTTCAGGGTTGATTTAGGTGAGGTTTAGGGTTTGTTTAAGGCTCCCTTAGGGTTGATTTAGGTGTGGTTTTAGGTTTGGATTAGGTTTGGTTTTAGGATGTTTTAGGTTTGGTTTAGGTTTGGTTTAGGGTTGGTTTTAGGTTTGGTTTTGGTCAGGTTTAGGGCCAGCTTCGGGGGTTCATTCGGGGTTCATTTGGGGTTAGGTTTGGGTCGGGGGGCGGCAGCCCCCCCCATGATGTTGGGAAGGGGATGTTGGGAAGGGTGATGATTCAAACAAAGGTACTCTTAATCTAAAAACACAGCGGGGGGTCGGGGGGGCGGCGGCCCCCCCCATGATGTTGGGAAGTACGGGAAGCCCAATCAGGAAAGGCCGGGTGGTTTCAGGAGGTGCCGGGTGGTTTTAGGAAGGCTGGGTTGTTTTAGGAAAGGCTGCGTGGTTTCAGGCAACGTTGGGGGGGGGGGTTCATGAAAGATTGGTTGGTGGTTTCAGGAGAGGCTTTGAGGTTTCAGGAGGTGCCAAGTGGTTTCAGGAAGACTGTGTGGTTTCCGGCGAGGCTGTTTGGTTTCAGGATAGGCGGGGTTTCAGGAAAGGCTGTGTGGCTGTGTGGTTGCAGGCTGGGTGGCGGTTTCAGGAAAGGCTGGGTGGTTTTAGGAAGGGTTGTGTGGTATCAGGAAAGGCTGGGGTGTTTCATGAAAAACTGGCCGGTGGTTTCAGGAAAGGTTTGGCGGTGTCAGGAAATGGTTGCGGGAAAGACTGGGTGGTATCACGAATTCGGCAACAACCCTTTCAGAGGTAGCCTTTCACGAAATTTATAGCTAAGAAACAAAATTAGTTTCCTGAAGCCAGCATGCTTCTGGAAAACAACTATTAAGCTTCCTGAACACATGTTTCCGGAAACTTGCGGGTATTCATTTCGACCTTCTCGGGGTTGCTGACCCGTCGTCGGCTCGGGGTACCCGACCCGACCGGCACCCCTTTTTCACAGGGGACCAAAAATGCCTTCACCACAGACGAAACCTTCACGGACCGTTGCCCCCCCCCCTCCCCGCCCTCCACGTCGGCCGAGGCGCCACCGGCAAGGTGGTGGAGTGCGCCCTGGCGCGCGCCCGCGTGGCAGCAGTAGCAGCGCCAGCGCCGGCGCCGGAGGCTGCGAAGCCGCCGGAGGCACCGCGCGTGCGTGACCTTTTGGGAGTTTGGGGGTGGCCAAACACAAAAAAGCACAGCAACAACCTGAGCTCAGGGACTTTAGTCACTTTTTGGTATCATTTTTGAGTGGTAAACAACGAGTTGAGACTTTTTATGGCCAGTGAGTGTCTGCAGAGGATATTGCGAGACTCAAACCATGTGGCGCTTTTTGTGCTGACTTTCCTGGCCAACGATAGAGGTGAGTTCAGGTCTGGTCAAGCAATCGGAGAAGGCAAGAATGAGGTGTTTCAACCCCATCTAGTTTGCTCGCAGCCCCGCCTTTCCCAGTCGCTTGCTCGTTTGTTTGCCAAACTGAAGACGGCGGAGGGCGGTGGACATCAGTTAGTCACCTGTACCCGCAGTGTCCTTCTCCCATGAAGCACTCGCTCCCTGCTGGCGGTCGGGGGCAGAAACCAAGGAGTTGTTGCATCTTGAACAATTATCAATCAGGCCTCCTTAAAAGAGACCTTTTTCCACCAGAATAAAGTTGGAAACCACCATTGACAAGTTGCAATGTTCAGGTGCATCCGGACCCCTTTGGTGGAAGGAAGACTTTCGCAACTCCAGTGGCTGCTGGGTCACAGAAAAAAAACAAAACAGAGCACGTTGTGTTTGCTTTTTGCTTACTTGTTCTGAATGGGGAACTGGTAGGAATTAACACTGCAACAACAACAAGGGCCACTAGAACAACACGTATATATATATATATAACTGCATGGTGTTGGTGTATGCCCGTGCTTTTTCTGGGCTCAAATTGGTGCCTTTGGTTGCCTGCTGCAATGCGATCCGGATCCACATGGGGCTGTCATTTTGTTGAGGGTACCCTTGTTTTGGTGAGTTTCAAAGGAAAACCAGCAGGAAAACCACCATTTTGGGGGTCCCCTAAAAAGGACGCACTCACAGGCAGATGTGTCCTTTTTGGTTGTTTTGCTAGAAAAATAGATGGCCCTGGCTTACCTGGTGGTTGAATCATCTACCAGGGCCATCTATTTTCCCCTAAAAGGACACCTGTGCCCACATGTGTATTGTCAGTGAAGTGACCCTGGATCCTCGGACAGCTTTCACCTGTGCCTCCGTCAGGCGGAGGACGACACACGGGTGCAGGAGTTGTTGAAAGCGCGCCACTCGACACCCATTACTAGGAGCTGCGTGTGATCATTGTGTTTTAGGGGCGTCCATTTGGAAGAGAAGCCCTGAAATTCGCTACGACTGTGGATGGACAACATCTGAGCACCGCTGTGAAGCCACGGGAAGCCATTGTTCGTTGGTATTTACAGGGAAGCCATTCGAAACCAGGGTTTCTGTTTGCCCGTTGGCAGAGTGTCTCCAACTGACATGTGGGTATGGGTCAAAATAGACCCACCAAGGGACCGCAGGTTTTAGTCTTTGGTCCATTTATCAGGGTTCCATTTCGGGTACGCATTGTTGACCCACAGCCATGTGAGTTGCAGTCTTTTGTGTTGATGTTCACCAGGTGCTGCAGTGAGAGGCAGTGACTCAAATTGTTGCAGTGGTGGCAGGATGTGAAAGGCATGTCATTTGCCAACAGCATGTTCCGGGGTTTCTCAGCGAAACGAAGATTGGCAGAGCGGGAGCGGTAAGGAATCCCCACCTCCAGGGCATGGGGTGCCGTAGCAATTTTCTGCACTCGCCTAGGGGCTGGTGTGATTCGTATTTGTGTCTGGCCGCTTTAAGTATCTACTGAGCATAAACTTGGGATTGGCCTCCTTGGCAGATGTCAGGTGGATGAGTATGTCTCAAACATAGGGACCCCTTGTCGGTCCGTTCGATGTAGTCGAGCTGGCACTTCCTAGTGTTGACAGTCATAGAAGGAAGCCAGTTTTTCGGGGGTTCCTATTTCCAGACATGCGAGATAACTCTTTGCGCTACGCTTACCAAGACTGATCCGGTGGTTCATGTTCCGTAGCCATTTTGGCTCAAGCTGTGGCTCATGGGAGCGTAGAATGCAATGCTGCGAGCTGCTGTACAAAGAGGTGGCACGCAAGAAACAAAGAGACGTGCCATTGGAGGAAAGGCGGACCGGCCTCTGGCGACACCTCTGCTGACATCTGTCAACTTTGCGGGCAAAAAGGCGAAGAACGATGCCAGGTTTGCCAACGGACATCTCAAAGCTGAGATAGACGAAATTGAAGACATTGCTGAAACCCCGTTGCCTGATGGGTATGACACCTTCATTACCGGTCTTTGGGGAGCGAAGACGGGGTACTCCCAGCAGAACTTCATGTTCCTCACCAAGGAATCACCCAAGCTGAAGCAGCCGGATGATGTGGCCGAATTGTTGAACAGCAGCGGTTCAGCATTATGCCTCGAATTGGCAGTGAGGACAGCTGCCTCCTGTCTACCTTCAAACTCGGATGTGTTGGTTGCTGGAGCAACCAACTGGCTCTTGGCAGAACTAGGTTATTCCAACAGAAGTGTGACCCTGGACAAGGTCACAAGAGTGTATGTAGACACCGGAAGACCAAAGAGGTTTATCAACCGTCTCATCAACAGTGTGGCTGTTGGAGGCGAAGGCGGCCCGTGGCACGTCAAGAAGGTAACGGATATGGATGGTGCGGAGGTAAATGTCTTTTCGCTTGAGACAAAGCGCATTGACAAGCAAGTTGCCACTATAGTCGATGCACACCTGCATGGCAAAGAGGATGCATCCATGGAACCCGCAGTCACACAAGCTGACCTCAAGGACACGCACCAACGCATGGAAGCCCTGGAGCAAAGGTTCATGGCAATGCACCAAGATCACCAGGCAGTCACCCAAGCCAAGTTCAAAGCAGTTGAGCAGCAAGTGCATCAGGTTGAGTGCGCAGTTCAAGCCCAAAGCAAAGGGATGCAGTCCATGTTCGATGCCCAGATGGCCCGCATAGAAGCCTTGATGAGCCAGAGCCAGCGCAGAGACCGATCACGGTCTAGGAAGGAGTGACTAGCCATCATGGCCAGCTTAATTAGGTGCACCCAATCATGGTGCAGCAACCTTCAGTTGTGGTGGGCACTGGTCGGTACCTATATCCACACGAATGATTGCAGCATAGGGGAGGCCAGGAACCCAGGGCCCAGTGCTATGTCAGCACAGCCATGGACTCTTGGTATCGCCAACCCAACCGGGTTGGAGGGAAAGGAAAGTATTTTTCGAGAGTTGGCCCAGGGGTTGTGGCTCATCTCGGAGACCCATTTTACAACCCAAGGCCTCGGTAGATTCAAGCGTGGCCTGCAATTCGCACGTACAGCATTTCGCACCGTTGTCCCGGGAGCTCCCTTGAAGCCCCGGCCGCATTCCACCTGCATAGGTACCTATTCCGGCGTCTGCGCCGTGGCCTCGCATCCTGTGCGTAGTTTGCCCACCAACTGGACCACAAATACCTGGGAGACCGGACGAGTTGTCACAGTGACCTCGATGGTTAATAATCAATGGATTCAGGGAGGCATTTGCTACGGCTACGCCCAGCCTGGGCAGGAAGCAAGGGCCAGAACAGACATCCTACTTGAGCAACTCGAGGAGCACATCATCCATGGCGCCCAAGGCATGAGGTTCATAGGAGGTGACTTCAACACAGAAGACCACCAGAATGCACGCTTTCAACGCTGGAGAGATCTGGGCTTCTGTGAAATCCAGGAGCTTGCCCTTCAACGTTGGCAGGTTCCACTGCGGCCCACCTGCAAAGGGGCCACTCGCGTGGATCAGTTGTGGATATCCCCTGAACTGGCACGATACATCACCATGGTGGAGGTATGTGACTCCATTTTCTCGGACCACGCCACAGTGTCAGCAAGTTTTTCCTTTGGAAAGGCGGAGCCAGCATTCACCTGGAGAGTACCCAGGAGCATCCAGTGGAATGAATTGTGTACCAGCATTCCCATTCCACTCAATACACCATGGACTGACCCACCGGCCTTCCCTGCAATCCCAGGCAATCCACTTGGAGGTAATGCCTCTCCTTCCACTTGTGCATATGCCAACCTGTGGGAACAAATCGAAACGGCAACCAATGCTTATTGCCAAAGTGTCGGGAAACAGACGCTCACCCAGGGGCAATGCGGACGAGGGCACACCTTACACCCGCATAAGTGCACACGAGTAGCCATTCCACAGCGGTCCTCTCGACAAAGCGAGATCAGCCCCCTTTTCACAGGCACTCAGGTAGTCCACGGCTTTTGGCTTAAGCAGTTGCGGAGGTTTCAGTCCCTACTCCGAACCGTTAAGTCCCATAACCCAACGGTCCATACCCTCGAGAGACAGGTAGGAACGTGGACAGCAATCAAGATTGCCCAGGGGTTTTCTCCTTGCTTTGCCACTTGGTGGCCATCCCGTGCACAAGCCACCGTCTGGGACCCCTCAGAAATCCCTGAGCAATGCCCCAGTGCAACTGTAGTGGCATCACTCATGGAAGCATTCCACAGAGAGTTCTTGGCGCTGGACCGTCAGCTAGCCAACTCACGCCTCAAGCTAGCAGCCAAACGGAGAGCAGCAGCACCCGCCTTGATCTTCAAAGACATTGCCAGACCACGGGCCAAACCAGTTGATATACTAATTGGCAAAAACTTGGCAACCATAGATAAAGTTCATCCGGCTGACCTTTCGGTAGTGTACACCGGTTACCTCAACCCCGACTTGCCAGTACGGATAAACGGGCGTATAGTGCCTGTCCTTGTGCATACCGAGGACTGCCTTTGGTTGGACACCAACGTGCTGCCCGCCGAAGGAGAACGCATTGTGCAGGAAACCCAGTTGGGGTCCCTGCCAGAAATGTTCCAAGCGTTTGAGGTGGAATGGTCCGAAAGATGGAACAAGCACGCACAGGTCGCCCCAGAGAGGTGGAGCCAGCTAGTAGATCTAGCCAGCAAGCATATCAGACCTGTGTGCACGCCATTTGGCGCCATTTCAGCAACAGACATCCGGAAAGCCATCAAGCATAAACGTGCTCGAGCCGCCCCGGGCCCAGATGGAGTCACACGTGACGACCTCCTTGCAATGCCTGACTGGGTGCTGGAACACTTTGCCCAACTATTCCAGCACGCAGAAGCCACAGGCCAGTGGCCCCAGCAGCTAATCACAGGCCTAGTGCACAGCCTGGAGAAAAGAGACAACCCTGACTCTGTCTCCTCCTACAGGCCTATTGTAGTCTTTGAACTCCTGTACCGCGTTTGGAGTTCCATCAGATCCAAGCAGCTTATACGCCAACTCGCCCCACATGTAGACCCGCACGCCTTCGGCAACCTGCCGGGGAAAACAGCTGCACACGTGTGGTGGAAGACCATGTGTGAGATTGAAACTTCCTGTGACTTGCAAGAGCCACTGTGCGGCCTTGTAGGTGACATAGTTAAATGCTACAACTGCATACCACGTGATCCGGTGTATGCAATAGCAGCCTTCTCAGGCGTTGATGCCGGTACCCTACGTGGATGGGCAGGAGCACTTACTCTCATGACTCGTAGATTTTGCATTCGGCAGAGTGTTGGGCCGCCGGTTGCATCCTGCACCGGCTTCCCTGAAGGCTGTGGCCTTTCATGTGTCGCCATGATCCTCTCCAACGAATTGTTGTCCATTCACATGAAGATCACCTCTCCCACCATCCGAACTCTAACTTACGTTGATAATATTCAGTTCCTTGGACACTCCCCAGAGGAGCTCCTGGTTGCAGATACTGCCTTCCGTGAGTTTGTATATCAGATGGACTTGAGTATCGATGAAGGTAAAACGTTCTACTGGGCTTGCCAACCCGGGCACCGTAATTTCTTGCGCAAAGCAGGACATCAAGTTGCACTCAAAGCTCGTGACCTGGGAGCACACATGCAATACTGCCGCCAACCTACCAACGAAACCTTGGTCGCGCGGATCAAGAGTACAAAACCACTATGGCTGCAGTTGTCCACCTCCAGCGCACCCCTGGACCGGAAAGTTCACGCCATAGTCATGGCCGCCTGGCCCCGTGCTCTCCACGCCGTCTCGGTAACCCACGTAGGCCAAAATCATTTTAAGCAATTGCGCACAGGAGCTCTGCGAGGACTGCGTATGCGCAAACCGGGCGTGAGCCCGCTAGTGCAACTTAGTCTCTTGCAGGACCCACTCACGGACCCAGAGTTCTATGCCATCCGAGCCACAGTGAGAGATTTCCGCACCTTTGCCACCCCGGCCTTTTGGGAGCACCTGAGTGACAAGGACTCGCACCGAAGTCGTGCCGGCCCAGGCAAGGTTTTGCTCCAGCGCATTGCGCGCCTTCAATGGTCAGTACTTCCAAACGGGCAAGTGTTAGATCACATAGGCGAGTTTAATATCCTTGACTTGGCCTGGAAAGAACTTGACATCCGGATGCGTCACTCCTGGCAAATTGTGATTGGCACTACGGTTTCCTCCCGTAAAGGATTCTCAGGGCTTGCCCAAGTTGACACACAAGTTACCAAAAAGTCCTTTCATCAGTTAGGGCAGGAGGAACAAGCACTCCTGCGTGTAGTCCTGAACGGCACCTTCTTTACGAACGATGCGATTGCACACATGCAGGTTGACCAGACACCTCTGTGTAGTTTCTGTCAGGCGCCGGATAGTGTACACCATCGTCACTGGAGTTGTGTTGCTTTTGCGCCCCATCGCGCAGAACTTAACCAGGAAGTGCTTGAGACCCTGCCTTTCATTAGGGACTGTTGGGCTACCCGTGGTTGGGCCACACGGCCACCAGATGAGCCCCTTTGGCGTAGCCTCCTGTGTGACGCTGGCATTATCCAATTTCCCAGTAGGACTGAGTGCCTTTCAATTCCGGGGGATGATCCACTCGTGATGTTTACGGATGGGTCTTCCCTCTTTCCTCAATGGCCGCGAGCCCGGTTTGCCGCGTGGGCAGTAGTGCTGGTTGACACCCAGGATCCTCTCCAAGGGCACACCATCGCCCGAGGGCACGTCCGAGGACTGTTGCAAACAGCAGGCCGAGCAGAGATCCTTGCAATCCTATACGCGCTCGAAATAGCGGTCGCAGCAGAAAGACCAATCAATGTGTGGTCGACTGCCAAGCGGCCATTACCAAGGCGAATAGCATAATAGCAGGGGAAATTGTCAAGCCCAATGATCCGGATGCCGATCTGTGGATCAAAGTCTCACATGCTGCGCACAGCCTAGGATCAGCCAGCATACGAGTGAACAAAGTGGCCGCTCACCTTGCAGACCACCAAGCCGAATCACCTCTCGAGTCTTGGGCATATTTGCACAATGCCGCTGTCGACGAAGCAGCGGGCCATTGCAACCGTGAACGTACGCCACTTTTTCTCGCCACCCAGAACGCGGTTTTTTGCGGCTTGCAAGACGCATTTGAGAAAACCCGGACATTACATCAGTTCTTTGCCAAAGTTGGTCAACAAGCCGTTAGACTTGAACAACGTCAGGCAGAAGATCCTGAGACACTGCAGCCGCCGCCAACAGTGAGCCCAGTCCCACTTGTGGTCCCGCACATCATCGCAACACGCCTTGAAAAGCTTCAGACCCGATATGGCCACCCGCTAGTCCACGCCGTGCTAGCCTGGTGGCAAGTAGCATTGACTGAGGGAGAACCCAGATGGCTCTCGCCACTTCAGCTTCTTGTAGATTTCCAGATGTCAACAGGACTCCACGGACCTGTATACTCAGCAGCCAGCCAATCCTGGCGGGAGCCGACAATGGCAGCCAATGGGAGGCTGCCAGACTACAGTGTCCACCAACGGACTAGGTGGTTTCGCCGACTGCTCACCACCATGTGGAGAGCCCTCCGTGTGCAACACAGCCAAGCGCACACTCGCCCATGCAGCTTGGCTGTTTGCCCTTGGACGCAGTGCATTGCAGCCCAGTGGACCGACGCCAGGTACCACCATGTTGAAAGATGGCTCCGGGACAATCTTCCTGGGGCAGCCGTGCGTAGGGGGACACAGGGGTACAGAGCCATGCAGCCGGCTCCCTTTGTGCGGGGGATGCAAGTGCCCGTCCCGACATACTCGTTGGACAGGTGGCTTGCGTGAGTTATGGGGCCTTACCAACTGGCCGCGCCTGCACAGACAGGCTCCGTCATGCGGACACGGAAAAGAGGGAAAAGACGGTGGTTCATGTTGCTTTGCTCGGTGGCTTGCTCGCAGCCAAACAGTTCGACCAGCCACGTCGATGGCATTTGTTATACTCTCGGCGAACATGGAAGCTCCGGAAGGCCTCCGTACATGGAACCAGGTCTTGTACAGGGCTGGGCGCTTCCATGGAATCGCCCGGGGGGAGGCGGTTGGTCTCATGCGCGGCGCAGCCCAAATCCAACAGCCCGGGGAGACTACGGGTGCCGAACACCAGCAGGCGTTGCGAACAGCCAGAAGCCGCCATGCTTATCGCTTTACGTGTTACGACCAAATTCTATCAACCACAATTCCCGAACAATCCATGCATGCAACACTGCACTCCAAAGTGGTTTACCTGGATTGTCACCCAGATTTACCCTCCGAAGGGGTGTGCCTACATGGATTTGGTGTGGGGTTGGTCCCTGATTGGACGTAGCACGTGCCACAAGGACCCGCCAGGGCCTGCAACTTGCCACCTCCAAGGCGAGAAGTCCTTTGCAGCCCTGGCGGAGATGCAAGAGCGCTGCCGCAACCAGCAAGCCGCCCCTCAGCCTTTTTGGAGCTTCAAGATCTGGGGCCCTCGGGGTCCTTTTCCTTTCCTGGATGCTTCCGTTAAACTTTTGGGAAAGACCATTTTGGTGGCAAAGAAAAGGTTTGGACTTGTTTTTTTGGCCCATCCACAGAGGAACTGCGTTTGAAGCCAGCTTAGTTGCATCGCATTTTGAGGACGATTCTAGGTGAGGTTTCTTTTGGTGATGTTTAAAGAGGAAGTCTGGGGAGTCCTAAGATCCAGAGGTCAGCTTTGGGGAGGTGGAGGTGTGAAGTGCAAGAGAGATGACAGGATGAGGGGGAGGCTCTTGGCCGTTGGGCATGGACATTTGAATACACTTCAGCGTAAGCTTTCTCGGTGTGGGTGTGTGTTTGTGTGAAGGTAACGTCGTTGCCTTTAAACTTTAAACCCACATGAACACCATTCTGGGGTCCAAATCCTACCAAAAAAACACGTTTACTATCTTCGCAAATCTTTGCCTCGGGGGCTCATCCTGTTGAGTTTAACATAACGGTCTCAACCATTTGGAGTGCGTGAGACATACCATTTTTCTTCAAGTCTCGCTGGGCAAAGTGATTGTCCTTTTGAGGGGAAACCAGCGCACGGCAGTTTCTTCAACCCAATGGGCTCAATCATTTAGGTGTCATCCTACTTTTGACGGTTGCAAAATCCATTTCGCACCACCTAAGAAGCCCTGGTTTCTGATTTAATTTCCCTGTTAAATATGAACAAACATGCTGATTTTCCATGGACTCAACCAGGCAGTTGACAAGAATTCGTTGGTCACCGGCTGGATCGTCGTATGAACTCTGCCGGGTGTATCCCACTGTAGTGAACATGGTTACACAGGCATGCATACAGTGTCTTATACGAGGGAGTCTTTTTTTACCCTAATTTGGTGGTTTCCCTTTTCCTTTCCACCTGAAAAAAAACAACCAAAAGGGGGTTTCCCCCAAAACGACATACCCATAGAAGCATATTTTGTTGGGACGGTCAAGGAATCCGTTTCCAATAAAGAAAGCCTCCCCATTCAACAGCAACAACTGGGAAAAACAAATATGATTCTCCCATAAAACAAAAAGTCCCTGGCAAAATAAGTTTTAGGGCTCTGCAGTCATCTTCTGTCAGATAGGCTTTGCCTGGAAATTTGGGGGCCCCAAAAAAACAGCCACTGGGGGTGGGCAGAAGACTTCGCTAGCTCCTGGCCTCCTCTAAGTTTAGGGGACTTCAAAATTATTAGGGGGAAGTGATTACTGGGGAGTTGGCGTTTTGCCCATGGCTGCTGGGACACTTTTGTGACTCACCCGTTTTTTTTTTGTTTTTTTCCGCTGGCTGGCTTCGGTTTCACATTCTAAAGGGGTCCTGATGTGCTTCCTTTTTAGGCGCGCCAAAGCATCAGCTTTTGGCCCGATTTTGATGGGGTGTCCTCTGGAAGGGTGATGTTTAAATTGAAAATAGCAAAAATGACTCAGCTAGAAATCTGGATGCCATTGGAGGTGCAAGCCGGAGTATCCTAAAAGTGCTGCTGTGCTGTTCCCTACAAATCAAAATGGAACCCCAAACGGGTTCCCCATGTCAAAAGTGGAACTGTATAAGGAATCGAACCATCTTAGAAGGACCCTTTGGGGGCTCTTCCTTTCCGAGTGTGACTTGTTTTGCTGGTACCCTTGTTGGTTGGTTCATTTTCAACTGGAAACCAACAGGGAAACGGTTGCTGCGCCATGTTGGAATCGGTCTCGTTCCCGGTCTGATTAATTAGCCAAACTTTTTTGGGGAGCAGAATGGAGGAACGAACTCGTTTTTTTTTTTTCAGGGTTTGTACTCTGAATGGGGCAGGGCCACGGATGGGTTCATGCGATTTGCGAGTCCAGCTGTCAATTGGCTGTGGGTCAAAACCAAGGGGATCCAATTTTGGTTGGTAGGTGAATTCACCACCCATTTTAGAACCTATTTCAGTGGTTGGATTGGGATTTTCACTGGGGGTACGGTTTGGATTTTGACCCACTGCCATGTTTTGCTGTAAATGTTTCCACTTACTGGGGTTCTAAAAATGGGGTTACCCTATTTTTGACCCACTGCCAATGGTTTTTTTGTCTCCGAGCGAAGGAGATGGAGAAGCTGCTGAAGGACCGCACGGAGCGGCAGGAGGAGGTCCAACAGCTGCGGAAGAAGCTGAGGGGCGCTGAGCAAGAGCTGCCGCTCGAGCGTCACCGAGTGGTTTTTTTTCTTTCTTTGGGGGGGGGGGGGGGACCCCTCAAGATGTTGTTCTTTATTTTTCTTTTGGTTCCCTTTCAAACCAACCAAAAGTGAGTACCTTCAACAGAAAGTGACACTGATATGGAACGACCTCACAAGTCGCGGATATGAGGGGCCCCGAATTTTGATGTTCAAAGCTGTGGTCCTGTATGGAAACCCACTTGCCAAGACGAATAACCCAGAGCTTGCCAGGAAGTCTCGCCTCACTGCCATATGTTTGAAGAATATTTGGCCATGCCCTTGTATGACATGTTGATTGCTAAAACAAAGAAGTGGTTCATGCATATGGGTGTGGCTCAAAATTAAACAGGAGGGATTACGCAGGTTTTGGTCCATGTTTCCACTTACCAGGTACCGGTTTTTTGAGCCACAGCCATATATTCCGCTCTCCTGTCATTAAATGAATCCTTGGCCATTGTCTTGCTTCAACCACGCGAGGGTATGCAATAGGCGCTGCTCTGTGAGGTCCAACGAGGTTGGAAAGCCTCAAGCCAGTTACTTGCGCTTCATCTTGGTTTGAGTCGCTTGTTGGGGAAGCAAACCCTGCCCTAAATGGAACCGTGGCCGGCATGTTGTCCTGGATCTTCTCCACGGCGTGAGTCTGGTTGGAGAAGCAACACAGAGTGAGTGTGTGTGTGTATGACTGCCTTGCTTCATTTGCTTCATTCCGCTTGCGAGTTCCAGGCAAGAAGCTCAAGCACAGGCAGGGCAGGGGGAAGGGGAAGAATTTCGTTCTCGTGAAGCCAGCATCCGGATTCGACCTGTGACTTGTCCATGTTCAAGATCTGTACCAAGCATGCCTGTCTAACGATGGCGCATGCAAAGCACAATGTGACAAGCTTGTCGAGCCAGTTTCTGCAAGATTGTTCAATGTTGTGTCGGCATCTAAAGGATGACTTCTTGTTTACAGCTTGTCTATAGGGCCAATGCCACTTCATTTGTCGAACTGCCTTTATTCCAGGATTTCGATTCTCAGCACAGGGCACGTGCCATTTCTTATCCTTTCTTTGATTTGCCGGCTCAAACCCCCTTTTGTCAGGTAGGGTGTTTTATATAATGACTTTGTTGGTGATTGTTTTGAATATTTATATTGTATTAAATGGTTGTTTCATTTTAGTTTTTGCTTAAACAATATTTTGCATTTGCAAGGCACGCAGAGCGCAACGGGTGTAACATGGACGCGTGTCAGGTGGAGCAGCAGAGGGAGGAGATGGAGACGATGAGCCACACAACCGGTGACGATTCCGTGGCGGAGAGTCAGGGGTTGTGCCTTGGAGAGTTAGGCGAGCTGATTCTCGTTGCGAGATATGGGTGGTGCATGGATTGCCAAGGCCCTAAGGCCGAAGGTGGTCCTTACGGCGATGGCTCGTCCTTTTCGGGGACCCGACCCCTTGTGAGGTGGCGTTCAAGGGACCATTCTGGGAGGGTCCCACTACTTTGAGCCACACCCTTTGCTGTCAAGTTACAGGTTCTGACGGCCGTTTGGAAGACGTTGCTCCCTAGGGATGGGAGAGACATTGTTGGCCTGGATTGAAATCTGACAGGGCGGTAGCATGCCAGAGCATTCTACTACTTAGAATTATGCTGTACCATGCAGGACCCACTTGCTTTCTGAAGCTGAGCGCGTTATAGTTTGATTGGACTCCGGCAGCAGTACTGAACTATAGTCAGTGTTGAATTTTGAGCGTGTCAGTATGAAGCTACTCTAGCCCATCCATGCTAATCATGCTGGTCGCAACATGCTGGGCTTCCTTTGTTCCAACCCACGGGGAAGTTGCGCTATCTTGCTTTCTTATAAATACCCCAGTACTGGTGGTGCAGAATTTCCTTGGAACAGTCTGAGAGGCGGCACATGAAGAGATCCCTCGGAGAAGGGCCAACTGCTAAACATAAGGCAACACCACCGCCGGATTCTGCAGTTACTTGCTCACGACGTGTTGGATTCCGGAAATTGGCCATCCGAACCGCATCTTGAAGCCGGGCAACTTCGTGGCGTGAACCTCCCAATCAACGTCCGTGCCTGACACGATCCCCTCGCGATTGGCGGCCAACCCAGCCCTGTGCACGGGGACCCCGCCTGCATCTCCGCTCGAGGACCCCGCGGAGGAACCGGAAGAAGCGCAACGCTCGGGGCGGCCTGGCCTTCAAACAAGCCAGGTGTCTGGACGAGGGCGTGGAGCTGGAGGACCGCCTGGGCAAGGAACCCGAAGGAGACAAAGACAGCGTGTTTTTGTTTTGTTTTCATTTGCACGTCTTCCTTTAAACCAACCCAACCACCCCCTCAAAATTGATCAAAATGATGGGGTTTCAGGTGTTTTCCTTTGAATCAGCCTTTCAAGGGCGCCCCAACAAAAGACGTCGACCACGTTTTTTTTTTTTTTTAATCAATGGCAGGTTGCGTGAATTTCTATGATGTCAACATTGGCCTTTAGCCGTTCTTGCGTCTTAGAAAGTGCAGCAGGGGTTAGACTTACGTCACAGCACCTTTGCCCTCATTCAATCTCCAGAAGCTCTTCCACCCCCAAAAGCAGGAACATGGGGGAACAAGAACCGGAGATCTTCGAACCGCGACCGCAAGACCTATGGCGGGCCCCACAATCACTCCCGAAGCTTTGGCCTTGAAGATCGCATTGTTGGGTTTCTTTGTTGGGGGGGGAGTTGGAATGTTGGCTCTGGTTTTTGCTTTGGAACAACACTTTCCATTTAAAACAAACTCGAAAGGGTCGGAGGATGCTGAATGAGGCAAAACACGTTTTATGAAAGCGACTGCGGATTTAAAAGCGGCCTGTACATCTTGCTTGTGCTCAGCAGGGAATGAGGAAATGACCCCTGTAAACCTCCCCTATGGTTTCCTTTAAGGGAATCCCCAGGTTCATTCCATTTCTCATTCCCTACTTTTCGCACCAGCAAGACATTCGGGCGCTTTGAATGTTGCAGCGGGATGGGGTTTCCTTTTGCTCCTTCGATTGCCCTCGCTGCAGGAAGAGCTTCCAAGACCCGTCGCTTGGCGGGACGGGACGGGGTCACATGGGGGCCATTCCCTCGACAAAGGGGACAGTGAACGGTTCCCTGGGAAAAACAACATCGTGTCTCAAAGATAGGCGCCCCTCCAAGTGATTGGGTTTCTTGTTGTCCTATAAACATATGCCAGGCACACCCAGCCGTCACCCGATTTCATTCTTTGACTCGTGTCCCGGACCCGGATTTGCCAGCTGCGACAAATATTCCCCGGCTGGGGGCACGGCTTTTCAGTCGCGCCCGCCCTGGATGTGTGTGTCCAATGTGTTTCCAATGTGTTTCCCATAAATTTGATCCTTTGTGCGAATTCAGGACAATTCATTGCTTGCCAAAGATTGGCGGCTCGAGTTGATGCCTTGATCGGTCCGGGTTCGGAAGGATTCAGAGATGTCAAGGAGCCCGGACCAACAGCAAATAAATAAGTTAATGAATAATATATATATAATATAAGATACATATATATATATATATATATATCTGGTTATGTTCTCCTGGCCTGGTTGGTTCCTGCAAACATATCTAAGCAGAAAAGCTGGGACGGTCAACGGAGAGACTGCTTTCAGAGAGCTTCTGCTGGCTGCTTGGCGACCCGCGCAGCGGCAGACGAGCCCGTCAGGTTGGTGGTTTGGAGCCCCGGTTTGGATTCGGGTTTCAACGGGGCCCTGGTTCGTTCCAGGGGGCAAATGGGAAAACCACCGGGCTCCAAGCCACCAATTGGAGGAAAGCTGATAACTCGCACATTTACGATACGCTCTCGGCAGATGGGTACCCATATATGAATCATATGAGATGAGTTGAGCCTCTCAGTTTTTGTCCCTAGGTCAGCGATCCCAATGAGCTTTTGATCCGTGGTCTCATCTCCAGATCGCACGCATCTCGGATGCAGATGTCGGTGAATCGACTCCTGTTCTTCATGCCAAGGAGGGACGCTAAGCATAGACGCCGAGCGAGCAATCTCGACGCTGCAAAGCCGAGTTATTCGATTTGTGAACTACGTATCACCAACATGTGGTATACTTGGTTGCCAGATGCGTTTGATCTGACGTTCCAACTAGTTGGCAAAGAACTGCAGAGTCACAATTTGCGCCAGCGACCTTGGCCTGACCCGCTGGCAAGGCATCTTCCCTTTGGCACGAGCTGTCCCTTAGCTGCAAGCGCATGGCTCACGCGTGACGAATAGTGGTTTGTTTGTCCTGTCGAGTATTACTTCTTTCAGCAACTCTTCAGTTTTTCGCAACGCACCACGTGCGTTTGACTTGCATCATGCGTTTGGCTGAGTTTTGCATGTAGTCCTTTTTCGACCCTACCGAAATAGTCCTGAAAGAAACCACATCAATGGTGGCGACTGGTTTGTGGTGCTTGTTTCAGGATGTTGGCACCGCTTTCCCCAGGAAAATCCAGAGCCCTCCAACTGAGGTCATCATTCTGACTGTTCCTTGGGTGTTGGCAAAGTCAGCAACCCTTTTTTCTTGCCACATAGGGGCTGACTTTGATGGTGAAATATTAAGAGTCCAGTCCGACCGGATCTCCGAACCCCGCAGATTTGATTTAGCCATGGTCAAAATCCCGTACCCCCAGTGAACATCCCAATCCCCACTAAAAATAGACTAAAATGGGTGGTGCACCTACCCCAAAATGGTACCATTGGTTTTGACCCACAGCCATTTGGGCCCCGCAGGATCATCTTCCTCCTGCAGAAGGCCGGGGAGGACGGGCTGCCGCAGGTCACCGCGGAGGGGGACTTGAAGAAAGAGCTGCAAGCCATGGCTCAGCAACTCAACGAGCGGCCGCAGCCTCGGAAAAGGGTCGGCGACGTGCCATCCGGTTTCCTGCGATGAATGCCTTGCCCCCGAAGAGTAAATACGCCACCGCCTCCCAAATAATCATAATAATAAAATGCATTGGCTGGGGGCCAACGATATTTAATAGTAGGGTAAGCAGGGGTCAGAATGGCTCCCCCAGAAGCAAATGTACTCATTTCTGGAAACGGGCTGAAGTTGTAACTTTGTAAATGGGTTGCAGCACAAACTTTGAAATGGGAAAGCTCGGTTTGTTGCTTGGCTTCGGTCAGCACAGACAGACAGTTAGTGAAGTGCCGCCGCCCTTCTTAAGTTAGTCATTCCAGGAAGAAGACAGCCTTTGCTGACCTCTTGTCGGAGAAGCCCCAATTTATAAATATCGTTTGAGGGAGGAATCCTCGGAAGGCCAGGCAGGGAATCGCATTGGCAGCGCAATGCAGGGAACCCTTCATTTGCCTCTTGTTGGAAAACCCCCAATTGTTTGTTCGAGGGAGACAAGCCAGGCGGGGAAGCGCATAAGCGGTGCAATGCAAGGAACCCTTTGTCTTCAGTTGGTTGCAGGTGCAGGCTCTACAGCGAAATATGACCTTGGCTTTTTCAGCTCTGGTTGCTTAGTATCGGGTTAATCAGTAACTACAAGGAGCCAGCAAATGAGCATTCCCTTGGAAAGGTTCAAATCTTTGTCATTTGGTTGTAGCACAAACTTTGAAGGGAAAGAGGAGCATTGGTTTTGTTCACTTTCCGGCATGAGGTTGGCGCACGGAGCTTGGGTCCTGGACTACCCCCTAATAAGACTGGGGTTGGGGTTGGGGGGCGAGAAATCCGCCAGTTTATCGGGGACCCGGCGGTATGGGAGAAGCGATCATTTGTTAGTAGCTGGGTACATTCATTAATAAGGGGAGGGGTTAGGTTCCCTTGAAACGCTCCGAAAATAGTGTACCCTTCCACATACATACCCTTTGGATGTGTGTATTCGTTTTGGTTCGGAGATTCTCCAGTGAGTCTAAGGGCTCTTTCGCCATTCCTTCACATCAGTCCTATTCCATCCTGTGTTGGGAATCTGCTGGAAGATGGATTTCGGCAACAAATCTGCAACGTGCAGCTAGAATTGCGAGAGCAAGGCCCAATCAGATATCGGAGATGAAATCATGACATTCATGCAATTGCCACCTTCAACACCCCCCCCCAACCACTACCTCCTTGTCCCAATTGAGCGTGGCACAGGTTGGATGCGCTGAGCGGACACCACGGAAAAGATGAGGGTATGCTGACGAAAATGTTGAAGCATGTCGGCAAGGTCACCGACCAGGCGCGGGATGCCCGACTGGTTTGGTCCAAATCTTCGGTGTATGGCCCGTTTGTCCGGGACATTCAGGGACCCATAACCAGCGGAGTCACTCAATGTGCCATGTCCCTTTTGGAAAACCAGCTGAATGTTCGCTGTGATTTCTCGCCCAAAACCACCCCGAAAGGGGGTTCCCTTAGCGCCATGTCTCATGGCAAGTTGTTGAGACGTCAACTCTCATGTAGCTGCCAATGTTTGAACGCAGTGGGGCACAATTTAATGTTCAACCCCTGTTTATTGATGGGTGGTGTTCCCCTTCAAAAGTGATGATCCCACTAAACCAGGGACATATTAATAAACACATTACCATCAGTAAATCCGGGTTCATGGAGGACTGCTGGGGAATGTGCAAATTGGTTTATGTGTTTTGCTTGAAAGCTTCTAAGGAGATCATACACTGTCACACACCAGCGTTCAGCTTTGTTTTAGCCCCAGCAGACGTTTTTCTGCTCTGGTAGTTTCATGAAGCCAATCCAGGAGCCTCTTTCCAGATTCAACAGTAGCCATCTCATCGATTTCCACTTGGGTTCATGGTGATAGGTCTTCACGGAACTTGAGCTGAGGATCTAGGGGTCTTCGGATTGCATTCCAGGCCGTGGCCCGGTTCAAACAATGTTTCACTTCGAAATGGCCATGGTTCAAAACCAATGGGATCCCATTTTGGGATAGGTGCACCATCCATTTTAGAACCTATTTTAGTGGGGATTGGGATGTTCACCGGGGCTACGATTCATCGCCAGGACGACGAGAAACAAAGACATGGCTCCAGCCAGCCCATTCCAGTTGGCCATCTCTCATGGGGTCCGGTGCGGTCTGGTATATCAGTCAACCATTCGCAGCATTGCCCCTTTTGGTATCCCTTTACAAACAAGCCCCAAAAGCAAAAAGGGTGCCAAATCAGCAATAGCACCTATTTGTGGATGGACAAAATCCTAAACCGCCAGTCGGTAGGCTCCCGACTCTGCACGGGGTGCCGCACATGCATCCGCCTCACACATCCAGGTAGTTTATCCCAGGTTTTCCTAGGGCTTTCATTCCAACTAGGTCCCCCAGTGGTGCCCTTTTACCAACTTTTTTGGGGAGGGTTCCCCTACTAGAATAGACAAAACAGGAATAAAAGGTAACCTTAATTCTAACCTCTCTACTGGAGGACCTACTGTGGATGGACGAAATCCTGCACCACTTGGAAACCATGGGAAACCATTGTGTGCTGGTATTTACAGGGGAATCAACATTCCAGGGTTTTTCTTTGGTGGTGTAGGATTTCGTCCATCCACAGTAGGGCTTTCATCGCTGGTGGACTTGGCGAGGTCGTGGACACAGCGGTGCTCTACGTGGATCAGAACGTGGCGAACGTCTCTCCGCGGCCCAGTGCTGCCGGCTCCGATCTCAAGGAGCGAGTGGGCTTGCCGGGGGTGTCACACGGGTTGGTTTGAAGGGAAGCATTTCTGCTTACGTGTTGTTTTTTCCTCTTAAAAACAGAAGCATTCCTGAAGAGCTACCACTGCGAAGGGTGTCTGAGTGGACCACGCCTCATGCATGATTGGAGTATGTCACCACCCCTTCTGACCTTTTCTCCGAACACAAAAAGGTTTTGGACCTGGAGTTGGAGTGAGCGTAGATGGGTGTAACTTGGCATTTGATCATTCGCGAGTGGCTCAAGTTTGTATGGAGAAATGCTGTCAAACCTGAAGAACAACAGGTTCGCAATGTTGAGCTAACCAGCACCATTGGGCGGAAACCTTTGCCGCCGTTTGACTTGACCTCAACGGCATATGAGTTGACTTGTTCGGTTGCCTTCCGTGGAATCGTTTACGTGTGTGTGAGTCACAGTCGCCAAGGGATGGGCACAGTCGCATGTCACAGGAAGCTGTGCAGAGTCGGGCCACTCACTGAAGCTTGGGGAGGTCAGGGGGGGGGAACGGGGGGGGGCACTCATTGAAGCTTGCCAGCTAGGGATTAGTGGGCCGCCATCGGAACCCATTGAACCAGCAAGGCCGGAATGGTCCAAGATGCATGGGCTGAAGCACAAACAGGTTGAGTTTCTCCAAAGGAGACAGCCAAGTCTATCCTTGGCCCATCGGTTCAAGTTGTCTTGAGCCTGATTTTGTTTGCCTGCGACCGTGTTGTTGCCATTGAGAAGCAGTTGGCGAGCAGCTGTGCTTTGGCTGACTCACATTGGTTTGCATGGTTGAGCAACCCATTCTATGCTGAAGATGGCAACACCCACTTGAGACCAGAGCAGAGCGACATCTGTCCCATTGAGCCAAGGGATGCAGTTGAGGATGTTGCAGCAATGTTTGATTGAAGAGGGGCTGGTCAGCTACTTAACCCAGTTGCCCAGTGGTGCCCTTTCTTCCTCTTTTTCGGGAAGGGTTCCCTTTAAACTCAACCAACCAGAAAAAGAAAGGATGCGCCCCTTTTTTCCCCCTGGAAATCCACTGGGCATCTGAGTTAAAAAGGCAAGCTTGGAGGCCTCCAATCTCCAAATCGTAGCATGCTTTTCCACGCGAAGGGATTGATTTCGCCACTGGGCTTCCTCGGACTCGCCAGGAGTCTTCCACTCCAAGGTCGCCGACATCGCCGGCGTCCGCGTCCTTGCCGGAAGGTGAGCCAACGTCTTCCGCCGCTTGTCGCAAGCACAGAAGAAGCAGGCTCCAGCGGGTGTGTCTCAGAGTGAATGTGGAGTTCAAAAAGGGTGGACGCCTTGTTGGGTGGTTGTAATTCTGAAGGAGCACAGAAGGAAGGAACCCATTTTGGGGTTCCCCTATTTCGAGAAACACCCAAGTATCGGCATGAATTTTGATGGGGAAGACCCCTAAAAATGGTTGGCGGGCACAACCCTCCATGTAAACGATTTCCTTTGAGCTGTGTACGACCATCATGCCGATTGGTCCGAAGTTGACATCCTGTCAGACACTGATTCACGTGGCCGAGGCAACGCTGAACTTCAAGCAAACTGCTCGGCTGCGGCTGCAAGCACGGCGCAATAGGCAGCGGACCAGCATCTTAAGCCGCGTGGCATGAAGACTTCAGCCCTGCGCGGGAACAACATGCAAGCGGACCAGTAGCTTGAAGAAAAAGACATGGAGCCGGACGAGACAGGTTCATTTGTGGTATGACAGGTAGCATGAAACCTGACAACACGACCTGCTGGTTCTTAAATGAGGGGGAGGGGGTGAGGCGGCACGCGTGTTCTAGCTGGAAGTCACGTGCTCGAAACAAAGAGAAGCACCTTCACAGCACTTGCCCTGCACGCAGAAGCTTGGGATTGTTCCACGCTCAGGTGTTGCGACCACCACCAACGAGGCCGACGGATGATGGGCCCCCGGGCCCCTTTTTCCCGGGCCGAGCCTGCGAGCCAACGAGCCAGAACCCAAAAAGGATCGGATGGGTGCATGAGAAAGCGATTGGGACGGTCACACCAAAATTCGGCTTGTGCCATGCCTGGAGAACTACTTGACGGATCTAAGTGCTGCGTGGCTGTTGGTATGTTTGGCTGACTCGCTTCAACTCAGGTAGGGTGCGGCGTTGGCCTACCAAGCTCCAGCTCGGCATTGGCCTTTCGGCTCAGGAAAAGGAGGTAGTTTGTAAACTTCAACCCTGCCTCGCGCGCGATCGATCTGCTTGCCTTGAACTTCAGCAATTTGATATGTGGATACGACACATGCCCGTTGGCATATTGGTTTTCGCAGGGGGCCTTGTATTTTCCCGCCCCCTCGTGGCTTACATACATGACGCTTTGCACGGTGGCCCAGATGTCTACCGTGACGCGTGCCAAGGCGCGCCTGTTCGAAATCGGTCACTGAGAAATGCGGGGGGTGGTCTCGGCAATTTCCATCTGGAGCGGCCAAAGCTCGAATGCCCTTGCAGCTAAAGAGCCATTAGATTGTTACGCCTGAAGCTCGTTGTTGGGCGATGTCCGGGAATAGAAATTTGGCATTGACAGACTCACGGCATAATTTTTGCTCGCGGACGAAGCCCTCCATTCGCAAGCCACCATCAGCTTCCGCGGACGATTGAGATCGATGCCAATGGATCGCCCCTGTGTTTATGTTGGGCGCGGCATGAATGATTGTTGACCGGTTGCTGTCAAATGGGGCCGTGTTGCCTGTTTTCGACTACTGTCTCACAAACCAATAGAATACAAACTTCCGCCGACAACAAACATCAAACAAACACAACACAAACAGACGGACGGACGGACAGACAGACAGACCGACAGACAGACAACAAACACACAAAAACACAACAAAAGCAAAGACACATTTCTAGAAACACCCAACGCCGATGAAAACACACAAATCTGCAGCTCTCACACGATCCGTTTACATCCAAGGCAAGAGTTGTGTCATAAGGCCCCGCGGAAACATGCTACGTAAGCACCCGCAGCTCTTCTTCGTCATTGCGCTTGGTGAGCTTTGCACGGAACCGTTGTTTCGCACGTGTGGTGGCTCGTGCTGTTTCAAGCTAATCGAGCTTATCAACTTGTCCGGAGACTTTGGCTGCAGGAAGGCGGGTCTAAGACCGCTTGTGCGTGCCACCAAAGCAAAACCAGCAGAGCTTTGCTTGGGAGCTCCTGCGGCTCATGCCAGATGCTGTTGAAACCCGTCCCAGGGAAAGAACAGCCTTCTGAAACAGCTGATTTAGAAAAACTGAAGGGGCTCGGGCGCATAAGCACGCGTAAGCAGGCGCGTAAGGTTCGCGTACGCTCGTCAGCTTGGCTGCCCGCTGGCCCGCGCCATGGATGCCGCCGCATAAGCCGTTTCTTGACTTGCATGAAGAACAACAACGCCAAGCCGCTGAAACTTCTGAGGGTAGTTCTTCGTCATCTTCTGCCTCAGGGTCATCCACGTCATCTTGAACAGTTCTGGCGGCTGCACAGAAAAAGGAGCTCGAGCAAGCAATTCTTGAGGGGAAACGCTCAAAACGCCGATGCGTAAGCTGAACGTGCTCGGTGACTGCCGCGTCAGCTATTTAAGAAAACATAGGCCGCATAAGGAGAGCGCAAGCTCGCGCATAAGCAAACTTATACGACATAAGGATTTGTGGGGTGTTTGTAACATTGTAGTGTCGCTGAAATCTGAGAAGAAAATGCTACATTTTGATTGGTTGATGTTCCCTGTCAGAGAGGCGAGGCTTGCCAGACGAAGAGTATGACGGAATATATGCATTAGGGTGTTGCACTGAAACGCCCGCCGCCAGTCTTTACTCCCAATTATGGACGCTCAGATTGTGGGTTTCATGTGTTTCGTGTTACTTCCTTCATTTTGAGACAGACATGATGAAGCATTGGATAGTGGCACCGTAATTACTTCAGCAGCATCACACCGCATATCCACATGGCTGTGACTTGGATTCGGACACCCTCCAAAATGGTTGCATAAATGGCTGTGGCTAAAAAAAGTGGTACCAAAATGGCACCTTGGTAGATGGAACCAAAGACGAAAACCCGCGTGACCCCAGCTCTTTAATTTTGAGCCATACCCAAATGTCTCGTGTGGAGGGTGTTCGCCAACAAGTTATCGGGGTACCTTCCCCATTCTTTCCAGGCATCCTTCTTTCTAAAAAACCTCCCAAAACCCTGGGGAAACTGCTGTTTTCTGGAAAGAACGATGGTTGAAGTGAATGGGGCATCAATCCCTAGAACCACCAACCTCCCAAACAGTCACACCCAAACCACCCAATGGCATCAATCCCTAGAATCACACCGCGGGATGTCTGGCCGCAGGCTCTTTGGCTCCTGCTGCTGCCCTTGGTGGGTGCAGTGCGTGCAGCACGTGAGGAGCGCGGGCGGAGACGCTTTCGCGGGAGACGCTTTTGTGGGCGGTGCAGGGGACGTGGGAGTCTTTTTGGGATACCCTGTTTGGGTGGTTTAAAAGGAATTGAGAATTGTTTTTTTTTGGGATACACTGTTTGGTTGGTTTAAAAGAGAATTGAGAATATATTTTATTGGGATGATACCCTGTTTGGGTGGGTTAAAAGATAGTTAACGGCCCGGTCCGCTTTTTGGCTTCCCAACTTAGAGACAGCTCCAGTTGTTGCCTACGAAATGTTAGTGTCATTTCGTGCGCCTTTGAGAGGGTGACCCAAATCACTCCTCTTTGCTGTCAAACCCGTACTTAGACTTTTATACCTAGAATCATTCATGAATTCTTCCGAAGTGGCGTGATGTTTGGTAAGTTCCTTCTAAGATTCTGAAGCCGTCCCAGAAAGGCTTCTTATTTGAATACTGCAGCATGTTTTGTTGGGGAGGGAGTGGCCTGTCCAAAACACGACATGTTTCGCATAACAATGTCTTTTTGGAGATATCGCGCAATCATGCTTGTCTTTTGTATCCCTGTGTTGTTTTGCTGCCCTCTCTGTTGTTGACCCTCAGTTCCATAAGCGACTTCTTCCAACGGGCGTAGAATGACCACGCCTTCCTCGTCCACTTGATGGGGAATCCTTGCAGCCAGTTCGGGAGAACCAACGCAGGCCTTCATGTTTTTGGAGGGCGACCAAAGGAGGTGCTACGGATTGCTATGATTTGTTTGACCAAGCCAGCGTGCAAACAGATTCAACCCAGTCCCAAATGCATTCATTTGGGAGTCCGGATCACGGGCAAGCCCTTGTTTATCATAATTCTACACTGATCCCCCCCTCTATGCCCCCCATGATTGCTTGAGAAACCACCAAGATTCCCATTTGTTACAGTTTTCCGAAAGAAGGATTTCGAGAGATAGCCATCCTTGTTTCGAACCACCAAGAGTCCCTGTTCTTGGGGGGAAAGAAAGAGCATGGATCCCTAGACAAAGAAAGGGAGAAGTACAAGAGGCGCTTACTTACTCGAGAAAAAGAAAGAAACGACAAACACCTCCAACGGAGGAAGGAAAAAGCCACTTAGACCCACCAAAACCACTGAAGAAGAACCCCCAAGAACCCGGAAAAGGACATACCCACCAAAACCACTGAAAGAAGACCCAAAAAAGGACGGAAAAGGAACTACCCACCCTCCCACCTGCACCATCGGCACCATGGCCAGGGCCGAGTTGAGTTGGGCTCTTTGGATGTGGAGCAGATTGAGACTTCCAGCAGCACCAAGCTCACGAGCCTGCAGTGCCTCGACGATTTTTGTTGAACGCGGAGTTTTGTCTGGGTCCGGAACCAGCGAAGCGGCCGGGTTTCTCAGGTTTTGTTTAGTGGTTTTCCATTTTCTCAGGTTTTGTTTGTCGGTTGAATGGTAGCATGTCCGAATTTAAGCCACTGAAGGTTGAACACTTGTAGGAGTGGATCTGAGGACAAGAATGGGTTCCGGTCGGTTTCCATTTAAAAGAATCCCAGGCTTCGGTCCAGCGAAGTCATTTCAGGTCTCTCGAAGAGTCCCAGGCTTCCTGGAAGAATAGATCCCATGAGTCCCAATAGACCGGCCTTTGGCCCATGGGTTCCTTCTCGGGTGACCTATGATAGATGGCCACGCAAGTTGATGAAGGCGCATGTTAGAAGTACTGTAGCCTCTCATAGCGACTACAATCGCAACAAGCTACTCATAGCAAGCTTTCTACAGTTGGTTCGCATCCTGCCTCCCACTGGCACGGCACATACATGACAGGTGGTCCCTGCAAGAGGAAATCAATTTTCTACCCCGGGCCTTCTGTTGAGACGTGTGCCCCTTGGCAGCTCGCTACACATATCTATGTTTCAATGTCACAAACATATCAACAAACTACAAGATGGCTATGACGTCTCAATAGGGGAACCCCTCCAAAATGGTGGGTGGACATAAATCCCCGCCTAAATTATCTCTATTAAAGGGAAGTGAGTTTTTTCTTCGCACCCAGATCACCTCGCTCTTACAGACCTCGCGCGGATTGGACATGTTTTGGCTGTTTCCAACATCCGTTTCTGGTGGAGCACTCGATTCCGAGTTGCAACTCTGCCATTTCGCACCCAAGAAACCCCGGAAAAAAGAAGAAGACGGGGAGTCTCACTCTCTGAGTTCCTGGATTTTGTACTTTGTGACAAGATTGTTTTTCCTGGTGAATAAAAACGTTTGGACGTTTTTTGGCCCATTCACTCGATCCGATGTGAGATTTGTTCATCCACCTTAGTTGCATCACTCTTTGAGGACGGATTCTATTGGTGAGTTTCCTCTTGATTGTCTGAGGACGGATTTGCAGCTGAGTTGTTTTTTAAGGCTTTGAGGACCTCTAAGTGAGTTTCCTATGGGCTGATTGAGGTTTTCTTGCTGGTGCTCAGCAGGGAATGACCCTTGTAAACTGTCCAACTGGTGGTTTCCTTTAAGGGCACCCCTCGGTTCATTCCCGCATTCCCTGCTTGTCGCACCAGCAAGTTCAAGGGGATGCTAAGCAAATCCCTTGCCCATTTTGTGGGTCGTATGGGTGTCCTTTCTGGCTGGGTGTAGAATCATCCAGTGGATTCCATTGGTTTGGGAGAAGTATCGGGAGCCCCTTCTGCTCCAAAGGTCCGTTCTTGGCCTCGGATCTGACTCCAGGCACGTGGTGAACTCCGCGGCAGCAGGGGAGATCTTGGTGTGGCGGATGCTCACGGGCCAGCCCAAGGAGGCCAGATTTGACCCAAAAGCCATGAGTTCTGGAGGCTTCAGTTTCGGTTGGAGGTCTTTTCTTTATTCTTGTTGTTTTTTTTGGGGGAGGAGTCCATTTTGGTTGGGGGGGCGTCCATGTTGCAGACCAAAGCCATTTTTTCGGACGGGTGTTGAAAGTCTCGGAGTCCACCCATGGGATTGAGTCCTTAACCCAAGCTCTCCTGAACCACAGGCGCGGAAACACATGCAAAGCAAAGAGACGCCGCTAATTTCGGTGAGTGACTGTTCTTCGGCCTTCCCCTCCGGCGTTCTACAAGGAGGCTCCAAATGAACCAACTCGGCCGATCTTTATCAGGGTTGCCCACTTGCTAAAAGGGGTGTGTGATCCTTTGCCTCTGAAGAAAGAACCAACATGGGAGCCCCGAAAGACCAGCACATGTGCCACTGTCACTTGTTGTCTTGGGATCCTGTTGGGCAAACTTGTCGTGCCTTCAGGAGCCCACCGCCATGCGCTTGTCTCGATGAAGCAAGAGTCTTTGCCAAACGCGCTGCCCACATTAACCAGCACAATTCAACAACAAGCTAAACAAAATGTCGGTTTCAATCAAACAACACCTTCCTGGAGTGAGGATACTCCAAGAGGAAGCGATCGATTGGGCTACTCTCCACTCGGGCAAAATCAATCGGCTGCCTCGATAGCAAATGCGAGCAGCTGCCTCCACGGACACCTCCCGATGATTGGTTGGTTGGTTGGTTGGCTGGTTTGTTGGTTGGTTGCTTGGTTGGTTGGTTGGTTGGCTGGTTGGTTGGTTGCTTGGTTGGTGGGTGGGTGGGTGGGTGGTTGGTTGGTGGGTTGGTTGGTTGGTTGGTGGGTGGGTGGGTGGGTGGTTGGTGGGTTGGTTGGTTGGTTGGTTGGTTGGTGGGTGGGTGGGTGGGTGGTTGGTGGGTTGGTTGGTTGGTTGGTTGGTTGGTTGCTTCGTTGGTTGGTTGGCGGGTGGGTGGGTGGGTGGTTGGTTGGTGAGTGGGTTGGTTGGTTGGCTGGTTGGTTGGTTGGTTGCTTGGTTGGTTGGCGGGTCGGTGGGTGGGTGGGTGGTTGGTTGGTGGGTGGGTTGGTTGGTTGGCTGGTTTGTTGGTTGGTTGCTTGGTTGGTTGGTTGGTTGGCTGGTTGGTTGGTTGGTTGCTTGGTTGGTTGGTGGGTGGGTGGGTGGGTGGTTGGTTGGTGGGTTGGTTGGTGGGTTGGTTGGTGGGTGGGTTGGTTGGTTGGCTGGTTTGTTGGTTGGTTGCTTGGTTGGTTGGTTGGTTGGCTGGTTGGTTGGTTGGTTGCTTGGTTGGTTGGTGGGTGGGTGGGTGGGTGGTTGGTTGGTGGGTTGGTTGGTGGGTTGGTTGGTGGGTGGGTTGGTTGGTTGGCTGGTTTGTTGGTTGGTTGCTTGGTTGGTTGGTTGGTTGGCTGGTTGGTTGGTTGGTTGCTTGGTTGGTTGGTGGGTGGGTGGGTGGGTGGGTGGGTGGGTTGGTGGGTTTTGGTTGGGTGGGGTTGGTTGGTTGGGTTGGGTTGGGTTGGGTTGGGTGGGTGGTTGGTTGGTGGGTTGGTTGGTGGGTTGGTTGGTGGGTGGGTTGGTTGGTTGGCTGGTTTGTTGGTTGGTTGCTTGGTTGGTTGGTTGGTTGGCTGGTTGGTTGGTTGGTTGCTTGGTTGGTTGGTGGGTGGGTGGGTGGGTGGTTGGTTGGTGGGTTGGTTGGTGGGTTGGTTGGTGGGTGGGTTGGTTGGTTGGTTGGTTGGTGGGTTGGTTGGTTGCTTGGTTGGTTGGTTGGCTGGTTGGTTGGTTGCTTGGTTGGTTGGTGGGTGGGTAGGTGAGTCGGTTGGTTGGTTGGTGGGTTGGTTGGTTGGTTGGTTGTGGTTGGTTGGTTGGTTGTGGTTGGTTGGTTGGTGGGTTGGTTGGTTGGTTGGTTGGTGGGTTGGTTGGTTTGTTGGTTGGTTGGGTTGGGTGGGTTGGTGGGTGGGTGGGTGGGTGGGTGGGTGGGTGGGTTTGGTGTTTGTTTTGGGTGGGGTTGGGTTGGGTTGGGTTGGGTTGGGTTGGGTTGGGTTGGGTTGGGTGGGTGGGTGGTTGGTTGGGTGGGTGGGTGGGTGGATGTGTCGGTTGGCTCGTTGCCTTTTGGGTTGCTTTTGAACCGAGATGCCTTGCTTCCGCTGGGCCAAAAGTGTAGATCCACACTATCGGATGCATGACCTGCTGGCGGGGTCTCGAGACCTGGCCAAGTGGTGGTCAGGTTTGCATCAACAAAGGGACACGAGCATGTCTTAGATCCATGCACAAACGATATTTGTTCCCCCCTGAGAAAATGTGGCAAGACTCAGCTGGTGGGTTAACAAGTGCTTGTATGATTTTGTATTTGAAATAAGCATGTCATTGAGCCCCAATTGATGCTGGGCAGCCGTGCCAGACTTGGTTTTTAGCCAGTGTCATTTGGCACAAACGCATTTGTGGCGTAGCTATCTGATCACTCCATAGCTTCCCTGCCACATGACTCCGCGGTCCGCAGGACTTGTGGCGCACGGACATGCAAGGGCCAGCACCTGAGTTGTTCTCTCGGAGGGAGAAGAAGTGTGCGGGGAGATGGAGACCTTGGGATTTGGGTTATAACTTCATGGGGGCTGGGAGGGAGGAGAGGGGGGAGGGAGCCCAAATAGGCCCTTATTAAATAAGCCCTTAATAAGGCCTAACTTAGGGCTTATTTGGGCTCCTCCCCTTCCCCCCCATCCCCCATGACAACTGGGTGTGAGCTTTTTGGCAAGGGAAGCCAACGGACACACGCCCAAACGTCATGAAACTTGACTCGGGCCCAATATGAGTTTGATGCAGCGGCTCCTACCCCGCGGACTATTTCCCTGTCAGGTTCCATGTTACTTGGTGGGAGGGCAGACATATTGTTCTCATCTTCCATCAAGCATCATATGCATTGATGTCAAAGTCATTAATTATCAAGCACCCTCGCAACTGTCCCGATTTGAATGCATGCCACTTTATCTTCATCATGGCATATATATATATATATATATATATATATTTGGGGGGGGGGGGGTTCTAGGAGTTTGACCCGAGCAGTGATCTATCGTGTCACGTGTCCTAAGCAAGGGCAACAGTCGGGATGCCGCAACATTTGCGTAAGACGATGTTTTATTTCCCATCGTGGTTTTTAAAGGGAAATTATTTCTGCCGGATTTTGTTGTTTGTCGGGGGACTTAGGCAAATGGATGCAACTGAACACGTTCTATAGCTTGATGATTGCAATCATATACCCCAGCAGAGGGCCGTCAACTCTCTTGGCCGTGAGCAATTCGGAAAGGTGGCAAAATGCAGGATTCCTGCTTGGACAAACGCACCTGAAGCTGCACTAAGCCTCAGGAATTGCCTTGACTTTCTGCTGTGTGTTCAAGAAAAGCAGGAGCTTGGGTCCCGCAAGTGCAAATTCCGTGGCCGCATGTGCTGCTCATTTGAGTGCCTGCAGGACAGCAAAGGTCAGGCATGATTTGGCCCCCCAATCACATAGAATCACGGAGATGGCCAGAAACTTGCATTGGCAGGACTTGCCACATCTGAATGACCCTCATCTCTCGCTGCCCAGGTACGACGTGCGCAGGACGCTGGATGCCTATCACATCAACTCGCTGGACAAATTGAAGCAGGCGCTCCTTGCAATCTTTCCAATCTGCGCCTGGTGGCCATCGGGGTGATGTTATGCGCGGACGGAGTGGCGAGCCTGATTAAGATTGAAGAGGTATGGTGTTCACCCGTACCTTTGCGCCTGGCTTTCCTGGAATGGACCACAATGTTAACCCCGGATTCAACCCCTGGTTGATTAATAGGGGGGTGTGTCCCCTTTTAGTGGGGATTCAGCACTTTTGGAGGGAACACTCCCCTAATAATGGGGCGGGTTTATTAATCCCGGGTCAAGATCAGATGTGATTCGCCCATGCCAAAGGAGAACCTGGGCTTGAAGTCTTGACGTGGTACAGTCCGGCCGACCGGATCACTTCAGGACACAAGCACACTTGACATGACAACCTCAAAATAAGTTCCCTATCAGCTGGAGGTGTCATCCTTGACTCAGTTGTTCAGTGGCACCCTTTTTCCTTATTTTTTTTGGTGGCCCCACCAAAAATGATCTTCCCCAAAAAGGGTTCCCTTTTTATCCAGGGTCAGCTTTCTCCGAATCCTTGGCATTGGCAGGCGATGTTTGCTGCCGGGGACATCCACTGTTTGAGCAGTTCGACCTTGGACTCTGCACACAGGCCAGGGGTTTCAGAGCTTCGGATTCAGAGCGGCAAAGAGCCCAGGTGTTGTGTGGTTTCTAAGCCATTTGCCTACTTTATGGCGAACTCACCAGCAGAAAGATCCTTTGCTTGGGGATCCCTGAATTCATTCTGGAAGTATAGTAAAAGCATGCAGAATCCATGAGGCGGCAATGCTTGCCCTTCCTTTGTCATTGGGTGCTTTGTTGGTGATACGGTAGGGGGCGGACAGCTGCTGATGTTCTTGGACAATACGAGGCAATGAAATGCTCAGCATTTTTTTTTGCTGTGATGATGTGCCCACTTATCATGTTTTTCAGCTTACAAAGCCGTCGATGACAACTTGAATACGTGAAACGGATTGAAGCTCAGAAAAACTCCTGTATCCAGTGAAGCGCTGCCTGCAACAGAGTATTTGAGGGCCTTTCGGGCAAGAGTCCCTCGAGGCAAGTTGATTCTTTGGGTCCGTTGGCATCGGTCTCTCGGCTGCTCAGCCTCTCTTTGCTCTCTTTTTTCCCCGTCTAAGTTTTGAAGCTCGTCTTCACCTTCTTTTTTTCTGGTAAAGATGTTGCACGCTCTTCTTGCTGCTCTTCACCCCATCGTTTACGCTTTTTCTTTCTTCGTTGTTTCTTGCACTCTTGTTTGGCTTTCTCGTGTCTTGTCTTGTCTTGCCTTGCCTTGCCTTGCCTTGCCTTCTCTTTCTCTCTCTCTTTCTCTCTCTCGCTCTCTCTCTCTCTCTCTCTCTCTCTGTTCCTAACTTTTGCTTGAGCAAGTGTCTCAGTCATCATGTTTGCTTTCCGGAGTTTGCACAATCTTGCACATCTGCTGCTCGCTTCAACCAGCTCATCTCTTAGAATGATTCATGATCTCAATGGGAATCCCTATTTGCAGACCTTTTGGCAAAGAAGTGCCCCTTCTCAGCAAGTTTGGGCATGCAGCCTTGATGGCTGGATTGATGCGGTGACAAGGTGCAGGCGGGGCAAGGCGCGTGCTTGGACGCTCAACGCCCGACAACAACAACAAGAAGCTTTTGGCAAGTAGTAGAACATGAGAGAGAGTTGCTCGCGTGGAAGGCATCCTCGGATGCCGCTAGTTGGCAGAAGCTGCCGCCAAGAGGGTGCAAAGGCGGCACGCTCTGCCTAGGGAAAGCTGGGACAGCTCCCATTCCCCGCGAAGCTCAAGATTCCCGATTCTGGCAGCGAGTGTTCCCAAACGTGTCTTTCTGCCGGCTTAAGATAAGGGATCCCTATAGTCTTGACACATCGGCGCCTTCCCCATGGCCGCTGGAGCTGGGGGCAATTGGATCTCTCCGGCCGGTGAAGTGTTGACACCGCCCCTTCCGGCCTGCAGCGGCCTATGTGCGACGTGCAGACATCTTGTGCAGGTGTCACAAGGCTTTCCCCGTGTATGACTTCGTGCTGACCGCGCTGCTTTTGACGTTGCTCCGCTGCAACTATGAGTGCAATGGCTTCAAGTGTTGAACCTCGCAACCTGGCCATGTTTGTTCATTTTGTCTGCTTCAAGAGGGCATGTGTCAGACTGTCAGCAAATCGCAAGTGGGTTTTCTTTTAATACTCAACAAGGGTGCCCAGGGTGGCTTCCCTTTATCCATGGTCACAGAAACATTGCAAAAGGAACTTGAGGGGAAGGTACCTTGGCAGATTTTGGCTGCCGGAGCCCTGAAGTCTCCAATGAGTCGAGATCAAACCTCCCACAAGTTCCCAAAAAGGTTTCTTCTGCTTTTGCAGGCCATCAAGTTGGTGGACCAAATGAGGCCGCCAGCTCTCCCATGCGAACTGGCGGTTAGCAGAGTTTTGACTATCCCCAGAGGCGCAGGTGTTTTCAAGAAAGCCTCTGGCTGTGGGTCAAGACCAATGGGATCCCATTTTGGGGGATTGGTGCACCACCCATTTTAGAACCTATTTCAGTGGGGATTGGGATGTTCACTGGGGGTACGATTTGGATTTTGACCCATGGCCAAAAGCCTCTCTGCCGGATCCGCCGAAGGCTTTTTGCTGGAGCATTTGCCAACGCCCTGGGCTGCACCAAGAAGAACGAGGAGTACTAGTGAGCGACCCGCCGGCCTGTGCCAGACTCAGGCTGTTTTGGGGAAGTCATTTTCGAAAAGATCCGTTTTCACTAGAAAGAAGGACACCACCTTGCTTTTTCTGGTGTGACTTCTAACTCAGTCACTGCGCAATTAGCTCGCAACTAAATTACATGAGTGACATGCCAAATTATGACCCTCGGGGAGGCAGGCACTGTGTAATATGTTGATCGCATGGATGGTTCTGCTTAACTAGTTGACAGATGCACGTGTATTATTTTTCTCAAAAGGGGATCCCCGGAAATGGTCGGTTTCCCTGGCTTTCCCCTCAAACAGTTGAATCCACATGTCACGCACCGTGGAGCCTGATTCCCCAGGGCGAAATGGGCGCAGGCCGAAGCCTCCCGCAAGGGACTGGCGCGGGCGGCTTGACCGCACAAAGAGGCAGCCACCAAGCAGGTTTCTTTCAGGAAAACGCATGCACATGGTAGCACCACTTGGGTTGCCCCCAACTTTAATCGAGGGTTAAAACCCTTGTCATGTTTTGGAGCACCACACTACCACCACTCTTGTGGTGAGCTGTCTCGAATTCCTTCTTCCACAACTCATGTGTTGGACAACTCTGCAAACTGGGCAAATCAGTCGAAGCCACAATCACCACATCTGCAAGAGGCAGCTGGATAAAGCCCGAGCGCGACTGGCAGGTTCAGAACAAAACAAGTGCTGCGACCCAGGTCACCCAGCTCCAGGACAGTTGGCCGTTCACGTTCTAAACGTTCGTTCAGATGCGACAAGTCATTTTATGATGTCAGAGCGAGGGCCCCCTTCAAGTGTTAAAAGTGCCATGTTATCCTCGTTGTTGGATCAGCGATTCTTGAAACACCACCCATATGGCTAGGTAAGCCAACTGACTTCCTGGATGGAGGATCTCTTCGAGATGTTTCAGTTTGTGGGCTAGCTTACCCAGGATAAAGAATCGACTGCAGAGAAGGGTGTCGTCTTCTCACCGTGAGGCTTTCAAGTCAGATCAATGCGCAGCGCGCACACACACACACACACACCTCCCTTTTGGAGGCAGGGGAGATTGTTGGCCCCGGCTGCTTTCCATCGATCTGTGGTTGTCGCTGCGAAAGTCTATGTCGCAAGTCTTTGGATTGCCCCTCCCAAAACCAAGCGGTGATTGGGCGCGTTGCGCGAGCATTCGGATCACTTTGGTGCCCTCAGCGTCCACAAACGGAGCTTCGATGCGGGTTGCTTCATAGATGGCAGCTGACGCGTGATCTTCGGCCGAAGCAAAGGATGTTGATGAAGTACAAGCTCTCATACTGCATCATACTACTGGGTGTACACTGGCCAGACTTTGCTGCATAATTGGATGTATTTCCGAATACTTAGCTTGTACAATATTCCTTTCAAAGGCAAGATTCGAGCTTCGCCGAATGCTTGGCCCGTTTGGCTTCAGCCAGAGACATTGCCCGGAGATCAGCCAAAGACTTGGCCATGAGGCTGGCGCCTCAGTTGGTTCAGCATTTGCCTGGGGAACTTGCAGGGTTTCAGCCAATTCCTCAAATGGTGATGTGTACTTGGCCCTCATGCACGTGCCACGTACATGTGCCACGCAACAGGCATGAGAGGCCTCACGCCTTGCTTCGGACCAATGCCTTCGCTGACAAATGGAAAAGGGAGCAGCACATCCAGACACCATGCATGGTATTGGCCTGAACTGAAGAGTTGAAAAGGTGCGTGCCCTGCACTTGCTAGACGCGTGCCCCCCCACTGCACTTGACAGACACAAGAACAACAGCAAGGGGGGGCCCGTGATGCATCGGAAAATATCAGAGCAAATGTTTTTGGCGTACATGGGATCGTCAATCACCCATTCGTTTGGCCCAACCAAGAAGTCAAACACCAGGAGGTCCCTTTTCACGGAGAATAGTCTTCCAGGACCCATCAGTCGCGGGTTCAGGGCCAAGAGCGGAGGCTTCTCTCAGTTCTCGCTGCCTTGGCTGCGCCGGCACTGGCGCAGGCCCAGTGTCGAATCTCTTGGGCGACTGGCCGTTGATTGGATGCGCGACTTCACCAAAACGCCATGTTGGAATTTCTTTCGGGAGGGGTTATTGGGACGTCCCAAAAAATCCAAAACACCAACAAAAAAACAATTAAAGGAAGCTCCCTCCGAGAGGTGGGCCACCGGAAGGACTCCATGGATCATCTTGGCGGGTCCCAGTCATCCGGTTCGACTTGGCTTTTTACAGCTTTTTCGTTGGTTGAGTGGTTGGTTTAACTCAAAAGTCAAACACTTTTGGCAGAGGATCAGTTTGGACAGCCCAGTCATGTTGTTTCCATCACATGTACGTATATGTCGAAACCAGAGACTTCAATGGCGGGATTCATGTTGGCGGACACAGGGACCTGCGCCTTATGCACCTGCATTTGACCCAGATGTATCGCTTCAACTAGTCGAGACTTCAAAAGGCAACCAACCACGTAAGATACCCTTCCGGACCCCCAAAGAAACTATTTTTTTCTGCCTTGAAACCCATAAAACAGGAATCGGAACAAAAAGAGGTCTTTGGGGGTAGTCGTTATGAAATATGGCGCTCGGGTCTTCGGAGGGCTCCGACTTGGACACACTCGCACAGGAGAAGCTGGTGGGCGAGCATGGCCAGGAAGTTCTTGGCTGCCGATGCGCAGGAGGCCGCGAAAGATGGCAAGCGGTCAGATGGATGCGGGGTCCAACTTCAGGTTTGGTGTAAAGAAGATGTCGTTCGTGTGGGGTTGTGTTTCTTGTTTGGTTTGTTTGGAAGATCTTGCTTTGGTTGTGTGGGAGTGGGGACCAAACGGAAGGTTGGTATAGTTGTTTGCCACCCTGCAAACAATAAGACTGCTAAGTACTGTTTTTGTTGGGCATGTCCGGATGAGGACATGCGGCCTACCCTTTTGATATGGCCAACCACCGCATTTCTTTGTAGCCGGTGTGCCGGCTTGTCTCATCTATGTCGGCTTTGACTGAAGCCAATGTAATTTCAAGGGTTCCAGACAGTGTGTTTTTGCCGCATGAGTCTTATCCAGAAAATCAGGCTGGAATGAAGCTGTCAGTCTGAAGCTTCATGCTTCGCCAATGTGCTGTGCTAGCGTTTGTTGCGGCGGTTGAACATCGTTCAATCCTTCCAGCGGATATGTGTAATTGTCAAGAAGCCAAGAGTGGACGGCATGAAAGAGATCTCGAGAAGTGAGATATTTGGAGCCTCGCAGAACTGAGCCCTTTCGCCCGTCTGTGAAACCAGCTGGGTGTGCCGATGGGAAGCAACTTCAAGGACTTGCACCACGAACTGGACTGGCCAAATGTCATGGCTATTGTACATTTGAGCTTGCAGGGGTCAACAGATAGGGTCATTCATTGAACTTTAAGAGCAGAGTCCCATCAGATTTACTGCATGGGCCCGCATTCAAGGAGCCGCAAGCGCCCTCGTTAGTCCAAGTTGTGTTTCGTATGTGGTGTTTCAGAAAGGCAGCATACGACATGATGGTCCTATGCCTGAAGCACCAAGACAAGCTATGCTAGGCAAGACCACTCATGGTCACTGCGGCTACCACTTTCACTTTATGTCCAACGAGGACCGGATACGCAACTCTGCAGATGTTGCTCAGGTGTGTGTCAGGCATGTTGGCAATCCATGCACAGCATTTTCGTTTCATGGACCCTTGCTCGAAGCCCCTGCCAGCGCCTGGCTTTTTATGGAGTGGAAGGGCCACAGAAAGGATGGAATTCCACTTCCCCAAGTCCAGGAAAGTGCTGACCCGCCTAAATTTGTTGCTCAATGTCTCCTGTTTCTGGCCTTACTTGCTGCTCAAGTGACATGAGCTGCGGGGACTTGGGCTAACTCCTTATTCGTTTCTCGCGGGGGGTGCAAGAAACGCTGAGCTGTCGACTTGGCAAGCTAAAGGAGGACACGTGTCGACTGAAGTTCTTTCGCACAGTCTGTCAGCACAAATCAGGCGGCAGGCTGGCCCTCGTGATCGATGGGTCCTGAAGGGTTTGTTTGTAGGGATTTTTGCAAAGTTGCTCTCACCCAGCAATCTACATAAGGTTCCAGAAGGAAGTGGACTCACTGCTCTTTCCCCGAAGCCCAATGGAGTGGATCTTGGATGAACAGAGTGTGTTCTTTCCTGGAACACGAGTCTCAGCAGTCGACATGCTCGTCATGCGTGCAGGACAAGCCTTGGTGCCGCACCAAGTTCGGTTGGGAGCTGAGACTAGGCATAGCGTTGGCTCCATTGCCAGGAGCACAGGGATTAGCTACGAGTGTGGGACATGGCTTTCCTGCCGTCTTTCAGCGGTGATATCGTAGGTTTTTGGATGCACTGCACACTTGCTTTCAACCCCATGACTGAAATCAGGGATTTGAGCCTTTTAGACCTTTTGTTGTTCAAGAAGTCTCGGCATTTGTTCCTGTCATTCTAGATTTATGCTGCTTGCCGCAACTCTCCTGTCACCTCTGGCTTTGCGTGCAACCCACAAAAGCATTGTCCTGATGCCCAAGTGTGAGAAGCACTGTATTATATATATATATACCCCGAAGCCTGTCACCGGCATCCACATCTTGTCAAGCGCTGGCGTGTTGGCATCCAGCGCTTTGGGACCAGTTGCTACGCGATAGCCGGAAAGGATGAGCGTCAGGTGCTTGCTTGGTGCAGGTGGCCTGGCAACATGTCTTACGTAAGTGACGATGACACAACACATGAGACCAGTTTACAACGACTCCAGGCTAGGGCGCGGCAGGCAACTTCTATGTAGTTTCTGTCTACATAGAAAAAAACAACAATTGAGTGGTGGCAAGAAGTCACTCAGCGTGTGAGTGATGCAGCAACTATGTACAGCAAATTTCAGACAGTTGCTGGCGGGTGCTTCTTTGGTACATACTGTGGCTCCCAGTCAGGTGGCTTGCACTTCATGGGTGCAACCAGTTGATCAAACAAGGATGTTGCTTCGGTATGAGAGAGGCAATTCGTTGGTGTCAGTGCGACCTGCCATTAAAAACATGATTTCATTGCGGGCATCAGGCTTTAAGCGCTCAAATCTAATCACCTCGCGCAGTTTTTGGGGGCATCATGGTTCGGCTTTTGCCCTCAAAATCTACTCACCTCGCGCAGGGAGACATTTGTGGCAACTCGGTGGTTCTCGTGTCGCTTCCTTCGGACGAGGCTGCGGGCACTACTCCATCAAGGGCAACTGGGTGCACTGCGACGCCAAGGGCGTGGAGCGGCGCCGGGCGGCTGCCGCGGCCTTGGAGCGAGAGCCGAGCGGCCATGCCGTGGGTTTGTTTCTGTTGATAAACATTTGGTGCAACATAAATTGGGGAACCACCTCGGGGTGCATGTTGTTTTTGCATGTTTTTTTAAAGAAGCCTTGTTGCTCACAGATCAACTTGTAACTATCGACACTGGCAGAGTGCTGTGCGATCAAATCTGCTAGGTGCGTTGAATCGTTGCGTCCTTCAGCGACGGTGTTCAAAGACTTGCAGCAAATGGCCACGGAGTTTCCGAGGATGGTAAGCTCTACGATGCGCTCCAATTCAAGGAGTACTTCGGAAAGGAGCCGTTGTCGCAGAGGAAATAAAGCAATCTGTTGGGGTTACAACAGGACTGGAGAACCAGAGTTCTTGGTCAAGCCTCATTCCGACAGATGCATGGCTTTGACTCACGGGCTTCGGAATGTGAGGTTGCAAAAAGGGATGTGCATCGATGGCATTGCTATTTTGGAGCAATTAATTGTATGAGAGGGAGTGATCTTTGCTTGGGCATCTCAGATTGAACGAGCTGGCCCTTTCCACTTCCGCATTTTTTTAGCGCAGCTTTAGAGTTAGGCAACTACCTTTGTCCATTTTGGTCCTTTGCTCATCCGGATCAGGGCACTGCTTGTTTGCCCAGGAGAGCAAAGACAAGTGGCAGACTGCCGGGCTCCCAGACATTTGGCAAGCGCAGTGGTGTGCCTCACCCGGCTGGCAAGAGGTTTGCGTAAGGACAAAGCACCGTCGACCGAAGCATTGCCAGAGGACGAAATGTGGAGGGTGGAGGAACCACCCACCTGATGTTCTTCCAACTTAGCCAGGATCCAAGTAAACCTTTGGCCACAATTCTCCGAGTTTCTGTTGACCTCTTGTGAGGGGAGGAAGATGGGTGGGCGTTTGCCTTTGTTTTCTCCTTCGCTTTGACGCATGGGATCTCCCCTCGATGCAGCATGCCCTCTGAAGCTCAGGCTGCCAAGTACACGGAGACCCGGGTCGCTCGAAACGGCAAGGCCCAGGGCTCGGGATCGATCCGGAGTGATGCTGACCAGTTGAGACTTGGCATGGAGAGATGAGCATCTGGAGTCTTTACCCATTATAGTCATCACCCCGTTAAAAAAATGGGGTCACTACCCCCGTTTGTGCTGGGAGTCTCCATGACCGTTGAAAAATGGGGTCGTTACCCCAAAAAATGGGTCATTGGCCCATCTTTAAAGGGTCATGGAGACTCCAGGTAGATCCGAGAAGATTAGGATGTGCCTGATGACCTTGTGCTCATATGGGAGATGTTCCAAGTCTGCTGGTGAGGCTTTGTAAGGGCAATACTAGTTTCAGGCTTGTACCCATTCTGTTGGCAAGGTCGCACACATCATAAATTGTCCATGGTGCACAAAATCCACTTGGAATCAACAAGAAGACATCAGTCCATAACGCGGGAACCCTTTCATTTGCATGCTGCAAGATATGCTTCTTAACACTTTGAAGGGGCAGCGCCAAAACATGTTGCTTCTCATCTCTTGTATTTATTTCGCTGAGACGCCTTTGCAAAGGCGAGGGTGAAGTGGTTTTAACTGCTCGCCTGTTGTGCCTTCATGGATGCAAAAATGAAGGCGGGGTCTGAAGATGTCTGAAGTCTGGGGCCAAACATTCATATTTTCTACTCAAGTGTTTGTCGTGCCCCCTGCAAGGGTGCAAACATGAATCAGTACCTTAATGAAGGCTGCTGTTTGACTGGGGGCTCGCCACTCGCCTCCTCGTTTTTTCCCATGCAGGCCTACACGGCCTCGGAGTTCCGGGAGTACTACATCGACTACCTGGGCGAGGATCTTTGCATTTTGTTTGTAAACGCGGGTGGGCAGCTCAACTGCCAGTTTCTGTGGAGGGTGGAACGATCTCCCCCATCATGGTCCTTTGCTTAGGGATTTCTCATATCCAGTTCGAGAAACATAAGACAGAATCAAGTCGTGCTGCGCTTGAGCAGGCAAGTTGAGTCTGCAGTGGCTGAAAGGCGACAGGAAGCAATGCCAACACGGGAACACGTCCAGGTTTTGGCAACCGTATCATTTCTGGGACTGGCAGATGGCCTGACATTGCACCGAGCTCGTTTGGGTAGCAGCACTTGTCTAACTTCAGCTTGCCTACTTTAGAACCTAGTCAGGGCAAGACAAGTGCGAGCAATCCTGCGCTCCCCCACACAGTGCGCGCAAATTCGGGGGCCAATGCACGGCAAGATCATGATTCGAGAAGTTTGGCTCGACAGCAACCGTCATTCGGACATACCGCAACTCGGAGAGGTGCGGGGATCAACATGCCGAACTAGAGCCTAAGAGCTCCTTCTAATCCGGGATTGCACGAGCATGTGTTTGGTTCAACAGTTGCTTGTCCACGGGACCCGGAGTAACCCGGCGCTCAGTGACTATCTCCATCCAGTTTTCTCCCAAGAAAAAGCTTTACTTTGGCAGCATCCTGCAGCCTTGAGACCTTCAGCATCCTGCAGCCTTGAGACCTTCAGCATCCTGCAGCCTTGAGACCTTCTTCAGCCCGCAGTTCTGTGGGCTTGAGAAGCCAGTATTAATATGATTGATGTTTGAAAACTGGGGCTTGTAGCATCTCGCATGAGGGCCCTGCGGGTTTGGGCTGTGGTCTCGCGCGCACATAGGCGAATGTCGGGCGAATGTCGTGTCTGAAATGCTTTGCAGAAGGAGTGTTGGAAGCCATCACGAAGAGCCGTCGGACCCAACCAGGTTCAGGCTGAGCTGCGAAGGCAGGTATAGCGTTCTCAACCGGCAGCGCTGCAACCTTCCAGCTTTGCGCTTGCCAAACTTTGGCGCACTCAGCATTATGCTCAAGGGTTGGTTGCGCATGAAGGCAGTTCGCAAGAGGCCACAGCTTAGGCAAGCTTCAATACTAGGCCTCGCCTCAGCACAGGCGCTGCTCGCGTGGCAACGCTGCAAAGCACGTAAACCGCGGAAGGGCGCAGAAGCCTTGGCGCGCAAGCGCAGCTTGGATGGCAGTGCTTTGAATCGCATTGCCATTAGCAAGGTGCGTTGAAGCAACCCGTCCTGATGTTCTGAAATTGCAACTGCGCGAGTCTTCTGCTAGGCTTTGTGGAGCTTGCCAGCCAAGCTATCAAGGCCCAGACTCATCTCAGCGAATCGCCGAGTTATGTTGATTTCCGGCCTCGGTTGGTTGCAGCACATCCGGATGAGGCCTAAAAAGCCGGAACCCTCAAAAAGGGTCTAACTCGCCGAGTTAGGTTGATGTTTGGCCTCGGCTGGTCGCAGCCGTAAATGTGCAATATGGAATCGACTTGAAGCAATCTCAGTCCGTGCTCCTCACTTTTCATTTCAAGCGGCTCCTCAAAAACTTTGGCGGCGCCTCCCCGTGCCAGGCAACCGCCATTATCTGCAGCAGCTGGCTGCCGCCCTTCTGGCCCCAAAGGACCCCTAAAAGCAAACCCCAACCGATACCGATACAAATCGGTATGATTCAAAACGATTTCCAGCCATAGTCTTCGATACGATTTGAGGTTGCGATACTTGTTTGTCGATAACGATAGCTCGCAAAACGCAACGATACGATTCGGTATGTTGTATTTGTATTGTTGAAACGGCCCTGGCGATTGCGTCCCGACTTTTTCAAAGAGCTTTGCGCCTCGATCTAGGCTGCTTGAAGTGAGGTTAGGGTTGGCTGGCAGGAGTGGCACTAGATGGCCTCATGAGCTTCGTGCTGCCTCGGAATGAGCAAGGCACAGAGCTGTTAGACCCACCCAGCCATCCTTTTGACGCGCCAGCGTCAGACTGCTGCTGTGGTTGGCAAACACAACACCGGTTTGCTGGCCTATGCAAGCGCTTACATCCTTTGAGTTGGGAGCCTTGCCTTGGCAGGGCGCAAGCGCTGCTCGGATGGCAGTGCCTTGAATCGCTTTGCCATTCGCAAGTGGCGTTGAAGCCACCCGTCGTGATGTTCTGAAGCCAAGGAGCTATCAAGGCCCAGACTCATCTCAGCTTTTCTTGCAGCGCTTCGCGCCTCGATTTCTGCTTGGAGTGAGGTTTGTGTTGGCTTCCAGGAGTGGCATTTGATGGCATCATGAGGAGCGTCATTTTGCACAAGTTACGGAGCCATTGGACCCAGCCAAATTTGGCTTGCCCCGAGCTTCGCGGCAAGCTTTAGCCGTAGACTGCTGTGGCAAACGCAGAACTGCGGGCACGATATTGCTAGCTTGCGCGTGTGGTCAGACTTTGCCGTTGGATGCCTTGCTTCCCAGCACCGTTAGTACTACATTTCCCCGGGCTTGCAAGGCAGTGGCTCGTTTCAGGCTTCAAGTAGACAATGATGCACAGAAGTTCCGACCTGAAATTGTGGCTTTCTTAATTACGGAGCCTGCTCGGAATGAAGCCTGTTGTGAGCTAACTTGATACGACGCCATCCCCTGCAGCAAATGCTAGACCAGTGCATGAGCAAAGCGAAGAGCCGTTGAATGTCACCTTGTGTAGGTTTGACCACATCAAGAGGCGGTGATTCCAGGCACGACTGATGTCAACCCGTGAGACCACGCGGATTCAGCACACTGAAGCTCGGGGTTTCCCATTTGTTTCCCCTAAGGCAATTACCCTTCTCTACCAGTAAGATTCCTTCTACAAGAGCCAGGGATTTTCAAAGGGAGCACAGTGTTGCTCCCTGAGGTGGACATGTCAAGCAATTCGGAGACCAAGAGCTTGTTTGTTGGCTGTTGAACGTCTCCCCGACATGCCTCCTGCTGTCGGCTTAATTGTACGCGGTCTGTTCACTTTGAGTTTGGCGATGGGTGCTGTAGCACACTCCGCGCATGGAGCCCGTTGAATCCCTCTTTCCCATGGCTTGCGTGCCGTTCAAAGCTTCCTCGAAAAGCAGTCAATTGCGCCAGCCTTTCCTGTGCTTCGTGGTGAAGGTATTTCCACTCAGCTCCGCGCCGCAAACCAGATGCTTTGTTGCCACCAAACTGGCTGTATTTGGCAAGGATCACATTGCATAGCCCCTTGGAGGGGGCAATCGCCGCGTACCTTGCAGACAAACATGTTCATTGCCAGTGTGGACGCTTGAGTCAAAACAAGCTCGGGCGCGTGAGTGATCGAGGTTGGGTGATCCTTGCTTGAGAACATTCAAGAGGCCTGATGGACATTTCTTCCAGAGCTCATTGTGAAGCATTCCGGCCATGTGCTATTGCGAGCTCTTACAAAGCGGTTGCTCGTGGAGACGTCGTCTTTGCTCCCTTCAGCATGTTTGTTCTTTGTTGCTTGGTTGCGCGGAGCTTGTGTTTGCGTGATTTGTCGAATCCAGCACCTGCTTTTCTTGCACTGTGTTTTAGATTGCGGATTCTTACGAGTTTTGTACGGGTTAATTACATCCGGGTTTTCTACGGGTTCTGATTCTGAAGTACAAAACCTCTTCTTTGGAACCAACGCCCGGTTCTGAAGGCTATGTGGCCGGAAAACCCGGTTTTCGAGACAGATCCTCGTTTTGTTGTGGATGTTTGTAGGTACCAATTATTGTCCAACACACAGCTGGTTTTGTCAATGTGCATTGGCGATGGCATGCCGATGAGCCGCTTGGAGCCATTTGTGCGCTCGCGCGCGCGCGCGGGCGTTAGCACTGGAAGTACGTAAGCAGCAGATCGAGCACCAGAAGCCACAGACCGCACCAGAAAACCGAGCACCAAACAGCACAACTAGAAGCACGCCATCCATTACCTCCCACACCGGCTGCATCATCGAGCACCATATCTCCTATTTGGCCGTGCGAAATCAAGCACAAGTTCAATCTGGATTCACTGAAAGTCCATCACCAAAAAGCACCACAGACAGCACACATTGAAGACCAGGTTTCCAATCTAGAAGCACAAATTTGAGCACCAGAAAGAACAGCAAGCACAACATTGAGCACCATGATTGCCTCTTGAACGTGTCAACTTCAAGCGCCTTGACTTAGCTCATTTGCGGTCGACCACAACTGGCAGCTCCAAGCCAATCACAAAAAAGAGCAGCTGGAAGCACAAGTTTCAATTTCTTAGCCAGAACTTGCAAAATCGAGCACTGCCCGCTCAATCTGAAAACACGCACACAATCGGAAGCACATAATTGAGCGCCTGAAAAAGAGCAAACTAAAACCGACCACCCAATATCGAGCAGTTTTCCCTCCGGATGTGTCAAGTTCAAGCGCCATGACCTAGCGCGTTTGCGGCCGACTAGAGCTGGGCAGCAGACAACAACTGGAAGCACAAAGACCAGCAAGCGCAACTGGAAAGCACAAGTTCGAACTTCTCACGCAGCGAAGTCGCCGAGCGCCAGAAAGCACAACTGGACGTCGGAAATCGAGCGCCAGCTACTGACCACACGGTAGACCACCAGAAAACACAACTGGACGGACAAAGTCGAGACCCAACGACCAAAGTGGAGCACCAGGTGTTACTTCTTGCGAAATCGGGCTCCAGATGTTCAATCTGAAGGCACAAAGCAAAGTATCAGGAAGCACAACTAGCACAACAATGAGCAGTTGAACAACATAAGCGAGAACGAAGTCGAGCGTCAGAAAGCAAGAAGTCGAGCAGAGACATTGCAACGAGATTGTCAGGTGCGTAGTGGCCCATGGTCCAGCGTTAGCTCTGCCCACTTCAAGATCATTCTTCGGCTCGTGCCAATACTTCATGGCCTGTCGTTTGGACATGCTCTACATTGACTCGGAGAGGTGTGGGCCTCAACATGCCCAAGTAGAGCCCAACGAGCTCCTCTTCCCGAATTGCGGAATAAACACATATCTGGTTCAAGAGTTGCTTGTCCGGTGCCTGGGCCGAGTGGACGTGCTAACTCACCTGGTGCAACTGCAGGACCTGGAGTAAACCTCCTGGCGCGCAGCGACTGTCGCAAGTCAGACTTCAGGCAGCTTGCCCGAGAGAGCTTCATGGCAAAGCATGGCATCAGCATCCCACAGCCTTGAGACCATCTTCAGGCCCCAGCGCGGCTGTGAGAAGCCGACATACATATCCTAGATGTTCGAAAAGTGGGGCTTGTAGCATCTCTCGAAAGGGCCCTGCAGACTATGGCACGCACATAGACGAACATCGTGTCTAAACTGCCTCGCAGGAAGCATGTTGGACGACACGGCTCGAGCGTCACCTTACCTGGGCTCGAGCACGGCAAGCCGTCGGACCCAATCGGCTTGGCGGTGCCCAGGCATAGCGCCCTCAGCGCCGCAACTTTCCAGCCCTGACGAACTTTGGCGCACTCACTGCAGCATTTGAAAAAAAGGGCTGGCTGCGTTTGCGCATGAAGGCAGTTCGCAAGAGGCACCTTAGATGAGCTTCAGAATCAAAGCTAGACCTTGCCTCGGATTGACACAGCGCAGGCGCTGCTAGCGGGACACTGCTTTGCAACGACAGGACCGTCAGCAGGTGCCGTTGAATCACCCGACCTGGCTGTGCCCAGAGCTTCGTCAACCTCCGGCTGCATGAGGTTCTTAAGCTTTTTGGGCAGAAACGTGGAGCGGAGTTCCCTCATTTTGAGATCTGGAGCTTGAAGCTAAATGTTGAGGATCCTGCCAACAAGGCCCGCACTCATCTCAGAGTTGGTGCGCCTCAGCATCCCCGCCCGTTCCAAGCTTTGAAGCCACCCGTCGTGAGCAAGTGGCGTTGAAGCCACCCGTCGTGAAGCCGTGCGAGTTTTCCGCTAAGCTTTGTCAAGCTTGCAGCCAAGCTTCCATGAAAGCCTCAACTTGTCTCAGCACTCGCACACCTTAGCAGTCCGGCCTATTTTTCCGGCGCTTGCGCCTCGATTTGGGCTGCTTGGAGTGAAGTTTGCGTTGGTTTCCAGGAGGGGCATTTGACTTGAGCAAAGCACAGAGCCGCTAGACCCAACCGATGTGGCTGGTGGGCAGACACAACAGCACTGGCCTGTGTATGCGTGAGTTGGATGCCTTGCCTTGCAGCGCTGGCAGCACTGTAGCTTCCCAGTCATTCCGCTCCACGTGCGCGTGGGGTTCAATGCAGTCTTGGTCTACAGGGCTTGCTGCGCGGCCAGTTCAGACAGCTGCCCTGTGGCTTGACTTGGTGTGCAAGCGCTGCTCGCATGCATCTATCAAGGCTAAGACTCATCTCAGCACTCGCACTCAGCAGTCCACCCTATTTTTAAGCGCTTGCTGCCTCGATTTGGGCTGCTTGGAGTGAGGTTTGTGTTGGCTGCCAGGAGTGGCAACAGATGGCATGATGAGGAGCGTCGCGTTGCATTTGGCTTGAGCAAAGCACAGAGACGTTAGACCCCGCCAGCTTGGCTGTGCCCAGAACTTTGCGGCAAGCTTCGGTTTCAGACGCCTGCTGTGGTTGGCAGACACAGCATCACTGCAGGCCTGCACATGTGCTCATGTCTTTCGAGTTGGATGTCTTGCCTTGTATCGCTGGCAGCGATGCAACTTCTCAGACATTCCGCTTTCATGACTGTGGTGCGCGCTGGGGTTCAGTTCAATGATGCAGTCGTGGTCTACATTTGCAGGGTATGCTGCGCAGCCAGCCAAGCAGCTACCAAGACAAGTCTCAGCACTCACACACCTCAGCATGCCGGCCTTCTTTTCCAGAGCTTTCTGCCTGGACATAGGCTGCCTGGAATAACATTGTGTTGATTCCGAGGGGTGTCATAAGATGGCATCGTGATGAGCGTCATGTTGCCTTGGCTTGAGCAAGACATAGCGCCATTAGACCCAATCAGCTTGGCTGTGCCCAGAACTCCGCAGCGTTAGCTTCAGACGGCTGCTGTGGTTGGCTGATGCAGAAGTGCTGCTAGCTTTCGCATGTGCTCACACCCTTTGCGTTTGATGCCTCCTTCTGCAGCAACTGCAACACCACATGTCCCTAGCCCTCGCGCTGTCAAGGCGGTGGCTTGCTTTAGGATTCAACTTAACGATGCAGATCTGGTGTGGCATTTGCTGCAGAGGCCGGCTGCGCATCAGGGTAGTTCACACTTTGGGCAAGTTTTCGTAGGACAAAGCCAGAGTTTCGTGTCTGAACTGCCGTGTGCAGGAGGCATCCATGTTGAGCGGCATTTTGCCTTGGCTGGCGCAGGGCCAAAAGCCATTGGACCCAGCCCCAGCCAGCTTGGTGCTCGCTTGCGCATGTCACACCTTTTGCATTTGATGCCCCTCCTTGCAGCATCTGCAGCACGTCTCCCCAGCCCTCTCGCTGTCAAGGCTGTTGCTCGCTGGATTCAAGTCAATGATGCACACCTGGCCTGGCATTTGCTGCAGGGGCTGGTTGTTCACCAAGGTACTGGTAGTTCAATGTGGGCAGGCTTCGTAAGAAAGCCATCATTTTGGGGCGAAACTGCTGTGCAGGAGGTATGTTAGATGACATCATGGGGAGCGCCATTTTGCCTTGACTTGAGCAAAGCAAAGAGCCATTAGACCCAGCCAGCTTGTTTGCGCCGAGAACTTGGTGTTTAACTTTGGATAGCTGCTGCAAGCGATGAGCACAGTAGACCCCTGGTTCGAGCATGCACGTGCACGTTTTGAGTCTGAAGATGTTGGCGCTGTGCAACATCAGAATTTGGTTGTCTCGGGCTGCTTCCCACCAAGTATGATGTTGCGCATCATCTCTCCTGCCAGAGCTTGCCAGGGGTTTGCTTTCTTCTGCGTCCACAGCGAAGCCGGCTGCAAAGATCGCACCCATGTCTTTGTCGCAGTTGGCTACATGTACGACACCTGGTTTTGCGGCTTCTCCTTGAGGTTTCAGGAGCACACAGACACGCCCTGTGGACATATCGCTCCATTTGAGGCCCTCCAGCTCGGCTGCCGGTTTTCAACAGCCCTCCGGCGACCTCGGCGGGTGTGTCTTTCGGACACGCCTGCTCCGGTTTCTGGCATCTTGCGTGCCAGTGTCCTCAGCAGTTAGGGCTTTGCCGCCCGCTCGTTCAACCCATCAGCTATCAAGATGGCGTCGTTGGTTGACTGGAGGTGCGCATTGTACATCCATGCCTCGGCTCCTCTGCAAGTTGAAGATAGACGGCCCTCTTTGCGGTTGAAGCAAAGCGGCCGCCTGGGGTGTGACCACGAATGGCGGCAGCACTGTGGGTTTCGGGTTTTCACAGCTCAGGCCCGCTCGCTGCATGCCCAGAGCTTTCGGCCAAGTCCCAGACTTCTGAGGTCAACTCGGCTATTCAGCTGTGGCCTGCGCATGCCCTTCGAGTACTCAAAATGTCTATAGCCGACATTGGTCGTCACACTGATTCGCCCTTACTCGGACAGGTCACGGAATTCGGAGCCTACGCGATTGTTGGCTATTGCCAAAGCTCCCCAACTCGCCTCATGACTGTGGCAGCTTGAACATACTCTGTCTCTCCACTTTGCGTTGGCCGGCCGTGGGCGTTGCAAGGCCACGCTCCGCACATTGATTGCCTCTTTCTCCCATTTCAAGGCTTTCTCTGAGCAAGTTGCACTCACCTCCGCCTTTCCTGTGCTTGTTCAAGGTGACCCCGGGCACTCCCTGGAGAAGAACGAGAGCCGATTTTTGTTTCCCAGCCCGGCGCTGTCGGAGATGCCGCAAGCGGCTGCAAAGATCGGAAAGCAGCTTGACCTGATGCATTCTTTCTTCCACACCTGCTGGGCAATGTTGCCCATATTTGATGCGCGCATTCAATCAGGTTTTCTTTAATTTAAGATGTCGGCTGAGATCACACGCCAGGATCTTGAAGGGCAGGCAATCACTGTGTACTTCCCGGACGAATGTGTTCATTGCCGGAGTGGGCGCTTGCACGAAAAATGATTGGCTTGACAGGATTCCACATTCACAAAGCTCACTGTTCACCAGGAGGAAGGCAACCTAATCATGCAGCGCGTCAATTGCTCGCTTTGGGGTGTTGCATTTGGCTGTGGCTCAAAAAACCGGTGCCAAAATGGAACCCTGGTAAGTGGAAACATGGACCAAAACCTGCGTAACCCATCCTGTTTGATTTTGAGCCACACCCATTTGACGTTGAGCTGGTTAGTGCAGAATTTGGTTGAGAACTGATCCTGGAATGTGTGTCTTGCGGAGCGCTTACAAAGCGAGAACACTTCTGTGGTTCCTGGTTCCGAATTCAGGACCCCTTTGGAAGGGCTCCCTAAATGATACACTTTGCCCATTTGAAGCATGGCTTTTTCCACGGAAATAAAGGAAACCACCATTTACAAGGCAATGTTCAGGTGTATAATGTAAGGATCCCTGTTTGGATGGTCGTGTTGCTGTGTCTCGAAATGCCGCCTGGATCTCAGGAGGGCTGGACCAAAGAGTGGACCTCGGCCCAGGAGGCCGGGCACGGCGTTTCGAGTGCCAAAACCAGCCTCGCCGCTAATGTGCACCCCGTTTTTTTCATCAACCCCGGTTTATTCACAGTGTGGTGTACACCCCTCCAAAAGTGATGATTCATTCCCACTAATTAAACCCAAAAACACCCCCCTATTACTAAACTGGGGTTGTTGAATATGAAATGAACATTAAGCAGAAAGAGTGGAAGCAAGGACCAGCTGCCAGTTGCCCGGCAGACCTTTGCCGCAATTCTTTCAGATCTGGGCATGGGTCAAAATTAAAGCACCAGGAAATGGACCGCAGGTTTTAGTCCTTGGTTCCATTTAAATACCAGGGTTCCATTTTGGGTACTGATTTTTGACCCACAGCCAATTCTTTCACTTACTAGGGTTGCATTTACTAGGGTTCCATTTTGGGTACCGAATTTTTATCCACAGCCAATTGCAGGTTTTAGTCCTTGGTTCCATAGGGTTCCAAAACGGATACCCATTTTTGCCCCACCATCTCATGTTCTTCGCTCCCATCCCAACCAGCCGGGTTTCCTTTTGGTTTCCCTTTAAACTCAACAACAAAAACGGGGGTACCCTCCGAAAATGGACGCCCCAGAGAATGGTGACGTTTTCCGAGGCCCTGCATTTTTAGACCAGGCGTCGGCCGTTGCACAGTGCTCAGGAGACCCGGAAGGCCAACGATGGGAACTTCTACACCTTCGATGACTTCGCCCGGATCTCGTGGGACTGAATTGGCTGTGGGTCAAAAAAAGGGTAACCCCAAAATGGGCTGCCCTGGTAAGTGGCAACATGGACCAAAACCTGCGGTCCATTTCCTGGTGGTTTAATTTTGACCCACACCCAACTGGTTTGCTGAGGGCAACTTCTCACTGGTTGTGGTTTTGTTTTTTGTTCCTGTGTAATACCAACCCAACATGGTCCTCCATGTGGGATGCCCCTTCAACGCATGAGTCTTGCTCCAGTCGGCTTCCTCGGTTTGATGGATGACGCCTTTGGTAACAGTGTAGCATGCTGATGATACTGTGGGTGGACGAAATCCTGCACCACTTTGAAACCATGGGAAACCATTATTTGTTGGTATTTACAGGAGAATCAACATTCCAGGGTTTCTTACGTGGTGCAGATTTCGTCCATCCACAGTATTATTACGTGTTTTGTGGGTATTATTACGTGTCCAGAATTGTGATGATTTGGAATGTGTTGTCGACCCTCCTTTCTTGGCGGTGAGTCCAGTAGGGTAAATGTTCACGTGGAAAGCTGTGTGGCGGTTTTGTCCCATTTGTCAAGGCCTGCTGCACGCCGCCTGAGTTTTTTCAAACGCTAGCGAAAGGACAAAAGGCATACTACTGCACGCGCGTAGGCACCGCGTGGGCTTGACTTGCCAGTCTGCCCAGCTCGTGTGAACGAGTTTTGCCACGAAACACACAGCATAGGCTTAAGGCTGCCACACAACTCGTGTAGGCCGTGCCGCATGGAATTGGCGCGTGGCGTGTGGCGCCGGCGTAGGCGTCTGATACGTCACTAGCATTCCTTCCCGAAAACAGGACGCGCGGATGCCTCACGAGCTGCTGTACGAGTTTGGGCTGTGAATGGCCAAGAAAGAGGATGATTATTGCTTTGCGTGGCATGGCCAAATGATGAAAAATGTTTGCTGTGTGGATGATGATAGATTCTTATTTGGGCATCCGATTGTTTGTTGCTTTTGAAGCAGCAGTGAAAGCATCACTTGTTGGAGCTCATAGTCATTATAACAGCCTGCGGCTACATCACAGGCGATTTATGCGTATTAGGAAACGCGCATTTCCTTGTATTTCATGTGTGGTGTTGTATAGCTGCCTTGCAATGTGGGAATACTCAGGGGCTTGGGTAGCACACGCTTTGGATGGCGCCATCGAGCCCAGATGACCCACTACGGCAAGGACAAAGCCTGGAGCATGCCGCTGGGGCGGCACTTGACATCCCCGGGTCCCTTAAAAACATGGAATTGGGGGGAGGGGGGAGTTCGACCCCTGGAGATCTTGATTTATGGTAACCCACGTTCCCTTTGTGGGGAAGACTAGATAAATGGAATTAGGGGAGCCCCCACCTCCCTCCCGCTTTGGGTAGGGGGATGATAGAGACCTGCCGGCCACTGCGGATGTTTGATCCATCATGTAAGCTCTCCCACGCGAAACACGCTCCAAAGTGCCGGCCATTTTAAATTGAAAGAGACTCCATCAAACGTCGAAAGGGAAACTCACAATACGCCAACCATTTGCAAGTGTTTTCCCAGAGGCAGTTGGCAGTTTGACATACAACAGCTCTTTCTGTGGGAGTGTTTGAGTCTGGACTTGTCCCAACAATGATGCTATCAGTATAGATACACTTGAGAGACATGCGCCAATTCGCTGCTTGCAATTTCGATCGGATGCGACGGGGTTCGCTTGGTTCATATGTTTTATGAATTGGCTTGAAGGCACCCGAGTACCTGCATTGGGATCAGGTGGATGACCAGCCAACGATTCATCCAATTTTGGGGGCTTGCTGTGCACGAGATGTGATGAGTGCTCCGATCAATCACAGATCTGATCGTGAACCTCATTCAGAGCTGAACTGCACCGGCCAAACGTGCCATACATGTTATGCCCCAGTTCACCCTTGGTGGGTCATGTCTTGGGAAGCCTTGCCTGACAGGCGCGGGTTTAATGTCATCCTTGCAAGGAAAAGGTCGGAGGCTTTGAATTTGTTTGGGAGGAGCCACTGAGGATGAGGCTTATGTTGGGTATGTTGCAGCCCTCAAATCTGGAAGGCAGGCATTCATGCTTTGGGCCCCGTTCCGTGGCTGTTGAACTGTGTGTCGTTAATGGCGCCCTCCCGGTGCCGGTGCCGATCTTAGGTGGGACACAGCCACCAAGCTGCGGCCGGAGCTGTGAGAGACTTGTGGGGGCATATTCCATGGCCGTCAGAGCCTCAAATACACCCGTGGCCACTTGTGGAAGGAAACGTTGAAGATACCATACAATAGAGGTGCCCATGTTGTGGTCGAGGGAGTAGTTCATGCTCATGTCTTTGCTTGTGATTTGGATCCGTTGGGCTTTTTGAAAGCTGCCCGGCCAAGTTATGCATGACTTGGCGGTTAGGTCCACAGGCCTTTGGACCCATGTTAGCCAATGTGAAAGTTCGCAATATCAGTCCCACTCATCATCTAGGAAGCATGTTTCAGCCGCATTAACTTTTGGCAAATCGTGCCTTGCATGGAAGCAATGTTGTTTCAATCCGTGTTCTTTTTAGGGGGTTTGAACATCTTTCAACTTTGTGTTGGAATGTGGCTTCGATTCCGGTCACCAAAGCACTCTTTTAAAATGAGTTATGTTTTGCGTATCTACTAGGTCACTAGACTGCAACATTCAGACAAGCATCGCCCGAGTTTGTAGCAAGGCGTGTTGCCAAGCTTGTTATTTATATGTATCTTAGTGTGAACTTGTAACAAGGTGGCAACCGGCATCCAAGAAGTCCAGGACGTGTCATGGACAGAGCTGCATAATTTGTCTGGGCCCGGTTCGGAGCAGGAGAGCTTATTTCCAACGACTCTTGGCTTCGCGGGCATAGCTTTGTGCG